TGTAAATAACTAAATCAAAATGATTATATTATGTAAGCCTTAATTTTTTTGACTATTTTGATAAAGAAATTAATATATATAATTTAATATTATATATATATGCTCTCTCTATTTTACCAATAGTTTATTATTTTGATTTATAAAATGCATAATACTATAATTCAAATGTGTTGATTAAATGTAAAACCAAATTATATATATTCTCTTTTATCAATATTTATTTGTATTAATAAATTGAGAAGTTTGTTTTAATTAATTATCATTAAATTATTTGAAATAGAGATATAATAAATTACATAAACTATTATTGTTATTATTATCATATTTCCATTATCCAAAATAATATTAATCATTTAAAATATTATACTATTCCGATTTGAAAGTTAAATTTTAAATTTAATAGCTTTCTATATATAAACATATTTGATCATTTTTATGTCAATGAAAAATTATATGCTAATTCAAAAAAAATTATACTATAAAAATGAAAAAAAAGGTCAAAAAAATTAAAAAATAGGGATTGCTCACATAAATTTAAAATATTTAGATAAATTGTATTTAAGCGTATGATTTTGATTCAGGGAACCCTTTTCTTTGTGTTTTCGAATGAAACTTTCTATTTATTACGACAATGTATTTAGATTAATCAGTTCAGGGGTAGTAGCTCATTTAGTAGAGCGCGTGATTTGCATTCACGAGGCGCCGAGAGCGAAGCTCGGCTACTCCAATTTTTTTTTTATTTTTATATTCATTTAATTTTATTATTATTATAGGATATTATTAAAATATCAAACTTGTCAATCAGATTATATATTTTTTCACAATAATTTGATTAATGGGATAAATAATTGGCTTATTTATCATTTAACAATCTTTTTTACAGTAATAATAACTTATTAATTAATGTGTGTTTTAATTTTTGATAATTGGATTTTCATATTGTAAATAACTAAATCAAAATGATTATATTATGTAAGCCTTAATTTTTTTGACTATTTTGATAAAGAAATTAATATATATAATTTAATATTATTATGATAACAAAAAACTGTTATTTATAAAAATAATCGTTATATATATATATGCTCTCTCTATTTTACCAATAGTTTATTATTTTGATTTATAAAATGCATAATACTATAATTCAAATGTGTTGATTAAATGTAAAACCAAATTATATATATTCTCTTTTATCAATATTTATTTGTATTAATAAATTGAGAAGTTTGTTTTAATTAATTATCATTAAATTATTTGAAATAGAGATATAATAAATTACATAAACTATTATTGTTATTATTATCATATTTCCATTATCCAAAATAATATTAATCATTTAAAATATTATACTATTCCGATTTGAAAGTTAAATTTTAAATTTAATAGCTTTCTATATATAAACATATTTGATCATTTTTATGTCAATGAAAAATTATATGCTAATTCAAAAAAAATTATACTATAAAAATGAAAAAAAAGGTCAAAAAAATTAAAAAATAGGGATTGCTCACATAAATTTAAAATATTTAGATAAATTGTATTTAAGCGTATGATTTTGATTCAGGGAACCCTTTTCTTTGTGTTTTCGAATGAAACTTTCTATTTATTACGACAATGTATTTAGATTAATCAGTTCAGGGGTAGTAGCTCATTTAGTAGAGCGCGTGATTTGCATTCACGAGGCGCCGAGAGCGAAGCTCGGCTACTCCAATTTTTTTTTATTTTTATATTCATTAATATTTACTATCACATACAATAATAGAATACTTTACTCAAATTATTTAACTTTAAATTTATCAGCCTCAATATTCTTAATAAGAATATCATAGAAAATATTATCTAATTTTATCATTAAAACCTTTATTTGAAATATCAATAACCTTCTTGTTACATTTAAAGACCAGTTTGTACATGAAGTAATAAATATGAATTTTTGAGTATAAATATTTATATAAACAAAATAAAAATTTATATATCATTAGCTTAGCCTTACAGATTCTCATTATTATTATAGATAATCAAACATTAAAGTAAAAAATTAAAGTATATCTATTTTTTCTTAAGAAAACAATTTGAATGCTTATTTAAGTTATAACTCCTTTTCTTAAAAAAATGGGAGAATATCATTAAGTGTTATATAGTGTTATTAATTAGAAAAATGTAAGAATGCTTTTTACAAGTTAGATTTTGTAATAATAGATCGTTTATCAGTAAATCTAGAGATGAGTTCTATATATTATAATTCTGATTGTGATTTAAATATCTAATTCACAGCAAATAAAGATTCTGACTAATCATAAATATGTTTATATTATTTTCGAACTAAAGTTGCTAATTGAAATCGAGTTATTCTTTTTGTATTTTTTAATTAAGAGAGATATTCAAGTGAGTTATCACTATACATTTCAGCCATCATATAAAAAAGAATCTGTTAAAGAGATTACATTATTGGATTAATATTTCTTGGTTGTAAATTAAATTAAAAGGAGTTCATAAATGAAGACTCTAAAATTTCTATCATATCAATTCTCTTTTAAGGATTTACTTACAGCATTTAGTTTAATAAGTCTTGAATTTCATAATAGTAAGTATCATTAATTTAAGGAATTTAGTTTCTTTTTCCTTATAAAACATTTTCTAAAAAATCTTTAAACGAATTTCCAGTAAAAAGTGAAAAGTTATAAACTATTCGTACTCCTATAATTCCTAAAGACCAAACATCATCTTTAAATGTTGGCTCTATTATTTAATTATCAAGGTAAGCTTGCACCAATTATGGACTTGAAAATTTAAGTTTTATGGCAGGTTTTTTATCAGAAATAACAACTGAAAAAAAATCAACTAATTTTATTTATATTGTTTAAGATTAATCCACAATTTCAAAACTTTTTAAAGTTAAATTACCATGAACAATAGATTTTGAATGTAAATAGGAGATGACATTAAAAATCTATCCTAATATTATTTATTTTTAATAAATTGTTATATGTTTAGATTCATTTAATATAAATGATTCTAAGCTTCCTCCATTACAATAGTTTTTAATTATTGTATATTATGAACAGTAGTAATATATTTCAACAAAATCCTATAAATTTTCATGAAATAAGTTTGAAATTAGTGAAATATATTTATTAGTTTTGTCGTTATTGTCTAAAACTTCGGCGATAAATATTTGTCTAGTCAAAATATGCTAAACAATTATAGAATTTTAATTTTGAATGACTTTATCGACATGTCTAATCTAATTATAATATTTTAAATAATTCTCATTGATTAAATTAGAGGGTTGAATTACTTCGTCAACATAATTAAAGTCTAATGTATGATCATTCCTTTTAGAAAAAATTAGGGTTGGTGATGCAGGGCCCTCAGAGACTAAATTATTTTGAAGATTTCTTAGGTTGATACATTTTAGTGTGCCTTTTTTAGAAGAACAAGTGCCCATAAGTTTTAAATATAACTTAATTAATGTTGGAAGATATTCAATAATAGAAACGTAATATATATTGAAATTACACAATTTGGATGTAAAATCTAAAAATATAATATAATTAGATAATGATCAATCATATTTATAATGATTTAAATTTAATAAATAGTTCGATAATATGTTTCCATTTACTCTATTCTTATGATTTTTTATTTAGAAAGAATATATGGAAATTTTAATTTCTTTCATTCCTTGCTTTTCTTTTAATTCTTAAAAATTCTGAATTATTAAACAAAAATAATGAAAAACAAAGTATTTTAAGATTTAAATACCAAGTTAAATAAACATGGAGTGAATCAGACTCAAATTAACACTTTTGCATTATTTTATTATAGTTAATATTGATTTTAATTATGAAGCTTAAAAATGTTCAACTGGTTCAATATATTTATTGTTAAAATAAAAATGAAGAAATTATTATGAAGTTAATGCTTTGAATACTTTAAACTTCATAAAGAGAATAAACTAATGAAATAGAAATATATTTATTAGTTTATAGATATAGAACTTAATTAATATGTTCATAGATTGATTTATTATACTATAATAAATACATCTATCTGTCCTTTAGAATATTTTTTAGTAAAAATACAATATTGTTAAAATATATATGATTCTCATAAAATTTAATATTATAATAGATAATTAGGTTAGATTAAATAAGAAGATTAATATTTTAATCATTCATTTCTTATTTGAAATGATTTAGTCTTTTAATGGGCTATCCTTCTTAGTGGTTTTTGAGTCTCAGAGATTTCTTACTTATCTTAATTTCCAGTTTCAATATCAATCACAATTAAAGATTTCTTAAATTCCACTTTTTTTCTTTAGAATTTTGTTACTGGTGCCAATATTTTTGAATCTTATCTTTTAAGAAATAACTTAGTTCTTTTTTAGTGTCTTTCAAATTCAACAGGAGTTGCATTTCGTGACTCTTAAACAATGATAGGAATTTCTGGTAACGATCTCTAAAATCTTTTAGGTCTGGTTGTGACTATTTTAGGTAAATGAAAATGATAAGGAATTTCAATAAGTGGATCACTTTCAAATTAGGTATACATTTTATTTCCACTATTTCTATCTGTAACTTCTCCCTCTGTCTTTAGAGAATAAGGAAGGACATCAAGTTAATTTAAAAAAAGTGATGGTCTCAGGGTTCTTTTGGTTGTTGTGTCTTTTGTTGGTGAAACCTCTTTTGAAACGATTGTTGGGAGATGAAATCTATTTGGAGTTGGATGAGACATAATGCTTCAATTTTTATTTTAATAAATGATTTTAGAAATTAATTTATTGAAGTATTATATATTGAAACTAATAAAACTGTTGTGATCTGTAATTTACTTACTATAATTATTTATAATAAATAAAATAATTTAATTAGATTTTGAATATAAAGGGGTGATGGAATATCAAATCGATATTATTAGATCAGTTTACAAAATTGTTAGAAATAAAAGATTATTAATTTTAAAAGTTTTAAACTTTTCTGAATTATTTTAATTATTTAATGAATTGGAATTAATTTGAGGCAATTCACTAAGAGGTTATATAAAATCTAGAAAATAATGGGTTTACTACTCCAACACCTGTATAAGTTGAAGTTCTAAATAATTATCAAAAACATAAGCATATTATTATCGCATCTTAAACAGGATCAGGTAAAACATTAGCATTTGGAATTCCATTAATTTCTGAGATCTTAAAGAATATTAATAATTATCCAGCCAAATAAATAATAGCATTGATTCTAACTCCAACCAGAGAATTGGCTATGTAAATTTATAAACATTTGAAAGCAATCACTAATTTGTCAATTGGTTGTTTAGTAGGAGGAATGTCTAAAGAAAAATAAAGAAGAGTTATAAATGCAGCTCCATTGATATTAATTGCTACACCTGGTAGATTATGGGATTTTATTGAAAATGAAGAAAATGAGAAAATTAAAAAATTGAATCTCATTAAATTTTTAATTATTGATGAAGCTGACAGAATGGTTGAATTAGGTCATTTTCCATAATTAGATAATATTATGACCAAAATTACAACCCCATCTTAAATAACTCATGATAAAGAAAGAATTATTTCAATGATGAAAGAACAAAGTGAAGCAGCTTATCTAAATAATTAAAAAATTACATTTGAAGTTGAAAAACCAGTAGAAATGTCTTATGAAGATTTTATTAAATTATAAAATGGTAAAGGTAAGATTTATATTGATAATGATATAATTAAAAATGATATTGAAGAAATAAATAACGATGATGAAGTAGAATAAGAATAAAATAAAGAGGAAGAACAAGAAGTAGAAGAAGAATAAGAAGAAGAAGAGGAAGAGGAAGTAGAGGAAGAATAAGAAGAAGAATAAGAAGAAGAAGAACAGGAAGAATAAGAAGAATAAGATATATCAGATTAAGAAGATATTAAAGAAGAAGAAATAGAAAATGAAGATGAAGATGAAGAAAATATAGAAGATGAAATTGATGTTTCAAATGAAGATGATGAAGAAAATGAAAAAGGAAAAAAATAAATAAAGAAATAATAAAAATAGAAATAAAAGAAAAGACCATAAAATTTTTAATAATAAGATTACTCTTTAAAGACTAGATATGAATTAAGAACATTTTTAGTTTCTGCTACCTTAACTCATTAATTCAAGACAGGTTCAAAATTTTAATTTTTAAAGTCTTCAAAAAATGATTAATAAAATTAAGCAGATAAGTTGTTAATAAAATAAATGAAAGCAACAGTTCCTAAATTATAATCACTTTTAGGTAAATTGAAAATAAAAGAATAACCATATATTGTTGATTTAACTTAATAACTTGTATTTCCAGAAAAATTATTATTTTTCAAATCAATAATGGAAGAGGACGATAAATTATTACATATATATCATTGGTTTAAAAATAATGAAGATTAAACATTTATTATCTTTTTAAATTCAATTACATATGCAAATAAAGTTACATCAATGTTAAAAGTTCTTGGAGTAATAATATTATTTAATTATTTTAGCTTCCAGCTGTTACTTTACATTCTTAATAATAATAAAGATAAAGATTAACTAAATTAGATTAATTTACAGCTAAAAAAAGTAATATCATGGTTTGCACTGATGTAGCTGCAAGAGGTCTTGATATTGTAGGTGTTGAAAATGTAATTCATTATCAAGTTCCTTTTACTGCTGATACATTTGTTCATAGATGTGGTAGAACTGCTAGAATAAATAAAGAAGGAAAAACATTAATACTTATAGGTCCAAAAGATATGGCTAGATTTGCAAAATTGGAGAGTGATTTATTAAGTAGTGGAATTAAATTTGAAGATTTCAAATTAACATTTAATTAAGTAAAAAAGAGTAGAGAGATGATAAAATAAGCTTAAAGATTGGAGAAGGAAGATCATTCAATAAAAAAGAAGAAGAATATGAAAGAAGCTTTATAGAAATAATTAAAAAATGATGATTTTGATTTAGATGAAAAAGAATTAAAATAAGAATTAGAAAATGTATATTATATATATTAATAATTATAGATTGAAGAGGAATTAATTAAAAAAAGAAAGAAGTTAGATCATGAGAAAATGTAATACTAATAATTAGTATCATAAAAGAATAAGTTAGATAGTAGATTTGAAAGAAGAAGAAATGGATTATTTTTATCTCCTGAAGATACATTATAATTAGCTGAAAAGTTAAAGCATTAAAAAGAAATGCTTCAATTAAAATAATAAAACTAAAGAAGGTGATTGATTATTATTAAGTTACAAGAGTCTTATTGTATATTTTATAATTTAATTAAAATTTAATAAATTAATTCTGGCATGTAATCACCTAATCCAGCAGGAGCATAATTATAATAACAATTAGAAATTTTGTAAAAAGGATTTGAATAACTTGTTTAAAGAGTTCCAGAAACTATTCATTTATCTTGTTTATCTTAAAATAGCAAAGATGTAAATAGATATTCAGATTGTAATTTGTTAAATTAATAATTTAAGGCATGATGAAAAGAAGTAAAAGAGTAGATAAAGAGATGAGATTATTTGATTTCAAAATGGTATTCATGGGAAATCAATTTGAAAAGTGTATTTAATCAGGTGATACTGATAAATGTGTAGAATCAGCAAAAGCAGATGTTTAGAGATATATAAATGAATTCCAAAAAAGTATAAATTGATAAAATTATCTATTTAATGAATTTAAATGATTCTCAAATATTAGAGTATCAATAAATACAAATATAAAATATTATTCTCAAATAATGTTGTTTTTATACCTTCAAATGATAAATATTTATTGAATGCATTCCAAAATATTATTAACAATAATCTTATAAAGAATCAACTATTTAATAATTATTTTTTCAAAATAAATTAAACTTTATGTTAATAAACTGTATATAATATATTAAAAGAATTATTAAAAAATAGATCAATAAATTTATCTATGAAATATCAGAAATTAAATTATAATTATTAAGAATAGATTGAAGAGCTGATTAAATTAATAATTCTTTCTAAAATAATTAATTAACTATCAAATTTTAATCTCTCTAAAGTATACATTTAAAAGGAAATTTATATATCAAATTAATTTATAAAAACTCAATATTATAAACAAGGATACATTATATTATTCATTTATTCATACGATTATTAATTATAGAATCGATTTATTACAATCTAATAATTATTAATAAGATTATATTAATTTTAATAATATTATTATTCTATCTATATGATTATTATAATTACATTTATAAACATCAAAAAAATAAGTCGGATTTGTTTCTAATTTAGATACATATTTAAAAAAGAGAATCCTTAAAGTCTTATGAATGTTCATTAATATTAATAAACATCTAAACCTTATAAATATTGATTTCTAATTATTTAGTTTATTTTCAATATAAATTTATTAATATTATATACTTAAAAATTCCACTCTTAATATGCTTATTAGTAAACTACCTTTATTAGAATAAACAACATCATAAAAAATACTATTCAATAAAACAAAAATAAATTATGAAAACTCAAATAGTGTAAGTGTGGAGAAAGGTTATAGATAGACAAATGTACTTAAATCAAAAAGATAGTTAAGTATTATGAAGTAATCTAATGAAAATAAAAAATAAATACCTACTTAAAATGATGAATCTATTTTAAAAAGAATTCAAGTAACAAAATCATAATCTGATTGTCTAATAATTGAGAAACTACAATAAGAATTTGAATAAAAGTATTAAGAACAAGTAAATAGAGATTTTGGTTATTTAGGTTAGGATTTCAGAGGATTTAAAACTAGAAAATATAAAATTAAAAATGCAGTTAGAGGAGTAGGAATAGTAAATAATTTATCTAAAATTGATAAATAATGATTTAAGATACTAAATAGATAATTCTACTTTAGCATAATAATTAAAGAAATTAGAGTTAGAATATAAGGATACATATAGAAGAATGGATGATACATTAAGAAAAGCAATTGATGAAAACTATGAAAGTTAAATAAAAATGAAAAATTTATCAATAAAATCTTAGTAATTAGAATAATTTACAGTAATTTATATATTAATTAGATAGTTTTCTTTGAGATAGCAACTTACTTGCAAATTTTGTAGAAAAGAATTGTAAAATACAATTACTGTGATTCCATGTGCACATAATTATTGTTAGAGATGTGTTTCTGGATATGTTGGCAGATGTTTTGCTTGTAATGATGATGTAATTATTATAATCTATTTAATTAGAGTATTGTATAAGCTACTTATCATAATGAATACATTAGCGATTTAATAAATATGTATAAAATATTTGAGAATATTATGAATATATTAAAAACTTGATTATAATTAATATAAAGTGATTTTTAAGCAAGTATAAGATATTAAAATTTATTGATTAAAATATATATATATATATAAATAATAGTCAGAGGTTGAGTAAACCTTAGTAGTATTCATTATAGACATCATGTAATTATGATTCAATTCTTTGATGACATCTTTCATATTCTCGATCATTAGTATTTCCTTTGTAACATTCAAGAGCTTGTTTTTCAATAAATAGCATCTTGATTGAGAGGTATTTTGCAAAGTTGTCAATTTTACCTTCATGTCTTTCCATACCTAAATATTATGAATAAGAAATATACATGTGGCAAAGAGTTCGAAGGTTTTTGAATTTCTAAGACAAATTTCTTTTTATTTTTCAGCCAAGTCTTATTGTTTAAGCATTTGATCAATAGAGATTGAACTGTCTTCTTTAAAGTTTTTGAAGTCATTTTCATATTACTATTTTCTTTACATTTGTTTTTGTGTATTTAATATTGATTTATAGAGATAAGATATTGGTTGGTTTTGAATTATGATAATTCATCATTACAGTATATTAATTTCAAATTTGGATGATTCATTATGTAATAACATAGATCGTCATTTTAATAAAATCATTTATTTATTTTATATTTATATGATGATATAATATAACAGATGTTTCATATTTAGGTTGGTAATGTATCTTAATTATGAGTTCTTTAAATTTTGAGTATAATAATCTCTAATATTGTATCAATAACTATTAGAACAATGAAGGTTATTGTCCAGATGAAATCAATTTCAAATAATAAAAGAATGGAGATGTTTAAACTTAGAGATAGTATTAATTATATTATTTATATCCATTTTCTATTTGATTAAAAGAATCTAAATATTTAGAGAATAATTATATCGATGAGTCCAGAGATTGAGAAATGTAAATTTAATTAAAATAAACATCCAATTAAAGCTTGTGAAATTATAATTCTAATTAAAACTCTATAAATTATGTATGAATTTTGAGAATTCGATTTGTTATTCTAATTTTGTTATTTGATTTCTCCTAAAAATTTGATATCACATTGTCTAACAGAGTCAGGTATTTCTTATAATGAAGGATTTGTTTAAAGATTGTTAATATTTCTAGATTGTATAATTTGTTAACCTGACTATTTTCTTGTCAAAGTTGGTGTTTTTAATAAAGTCTTCATTGGTGAAACAATAATTAAACTATTTCTATTTTAAGTACCAGCTTCTGGAATAGTTTAGATAGTTATCGTACCCTTTTTTGATAATGTTCTATGGAGACGCTGTGTATTTTAAAGTGTGAAGTCTGATGATTATCCTGAGTTTCTTGTAAGTCTTAATTGATAGTTATTTGTAGGAGTTGATTTCTTAAGAGTAAGGTTTTATTGTGTTGTAAATAAGTTTGATTAGTTTATTTAGTTCAGTTAGTTAGTTTTGAAATGCATATGATAAAATAGATAGAGCAAGATAACAAATATAAAGGCTGCAAAAGATATATGGATGATGAAGTACATAAATTATAATATATAAATAAATATTCTTACTAGTAATCAACTACACATTTGATGATCCTAAATTTCTATATAAGGATTCATTAATTATTTTAATTGAAATGAAATATCTATAATTCAATCTATTCATAGGGAGTATTCTTCAGGTCTGAATATTCCATAGAATCCTTCAAAATAATACAGCTTGGATATCACTTTGAAGTATATAGATTCCCCTTCGAATTCCAACTTATTAATATTAAATATATATTATGAGTAGATTTTATATAGAACAATTTTAGTATTAAAATACAATACCAGTAATGGGTACTAGTATTGTATGTCTAATTATTCAATATTATTAGTGTTTACTCTCTATCTCTTAAAAATATTTATTATTTTTAATAAAAAATTCCAATTTAATTCTTATTTCTAATGATATCTATATTCTAATATATTCATGAAACTTTATTAAATCTCTAAATATTTTATAAAATGTTTTTAATAACAACACTAATCATATTTAGTGAAAAATTGTTTAATGAACAAAATTGATTATAGTGAGACTTTAGAGATATACTTAATTAATTCAGTAATACTTTAACAAATAATAAAGGAACATCTTATTTAGGACAGATCTTTGTTGTAGATTAGCTTAAAATTTGGCATTTTTATCATTTATCATTGAATTCAATATAATAAACTTTTAAATTTAATTAGAGATAAATATTCTATGAACAATGTTTCTAGGATTGACTCTCTTAATACTATTAAATTGTCATCTATTATAAGGTATTCATTATGTTGATAAATAGAACTGGAACATTCTTATTAGATTTATTAGAGTACACAATAAAAAGGCATGAAAAATTAGATAAGTATGAATTCACCTTTCAATTATATAATTAATATGAATATCTATTTCTTATGATTCTTATATGTTTAGTTTATCAGAGATACGAATATATTTCATTATTCAATATAGAAGATGCTATTTCCATTAAAAATTCACTGATTCACCTTTCTTAAATTCTATATTTCATAAAAGTTTTCTGCTTTGTTTGATATGATATTATAAAAGTTATAGATTTGTTTTTTAATGTATTTGTATAGAGATTAAGCAATATTATATATTTAATAATAATAATAAGTTAAATATATTTGATTGACATTGTTAGATTTTTAACTCTCAATATGTTTATCGTTTTTCTTTAAAAATTCAAACAAAATGGCTATATTTTATACATAAATGTTCGAAGATGACGCAGTATGTTTGTTATAAGGATACAACATTGAATATCTATTTCCAACGTCATAAATTANGTAATCAACTACACATTTGATGATCCTAAATTTCTATATAAGGATTCATTAATTATTTTAATTGAAATGAAATATCTATAATTCAATCTATTCATAGGGAGTATTCTTCAGGTCTGAATATTCCATAGAATCCTTCAAAATAATACAGCTTGGATATCACTTTGAAGTATATAGATTCCCCTTCGAATTCCAACTTATTAATATTAAATATATATTATGAGTAGATTTTATATAGAACAATTTTAGTATTAAAATACAATACCAGTAATGGGTACTAGTATTGTATGTCTAATTATTCAATATTATTAGTGTTTACTCTCTATCTCTTAAAAATATTTATTATTTTTAATAAAAAATTCCAATTTAATTCTTATTTCTAATGATATCTATATTCTAATATATTCATGAAACTTTATTAAATCTCTAAATATTTTATAAAATGTTTTTAATAACAACACTAATCATATTTAGTGAAAAATTGTTTAATGAACAAAATTGATTATAGTGAGACTTTAGAGATATACTTAATTAATTCAGTAATACTTTAACAAATAATAAAGGAACATCTTATTTAGGACAGATCTTTGTTGTAGATTAGCTTAAAATTTGGCATTTTTATCATTTATCATTGAATTCAATATAATAAACTTTTAAATTTAATTAGAGATAAATATTCTATGAACAATGTTTCTAGGATTGACTCTCTTAATACTATTAAATTGTCATCTATTATAAGGTATTCATTATGTTGATAAATAGAACTGGAACATTCTTATTAGATTTATTAGAGTACACAATAAAAAGGCATGAAAAATTAGATAAGTATGAATTCACCTTTCAATTATATAATTAATATGAATATCTATTTCTTATGATTCTTATATGTTTAGTTTATCAGAGATACGAATATATTTCATTATTCAATATAGAAGATGCTATTTCCATTAAAAATTCACTGATTCACCTTTCTTAAATTCTATATTTCATAAAAGTTTTCTGCTTTGTTTGATATGATATTATAAAAGTTATAGATTTGTTTTTTAATGTATTTGTATAGAGATTAAGCAATATTATATATTTAATAATAATAATAAGTTAAATATATTTGATTGACATTGTTAGATTTTTAACTCTCAATATGTTTATCGTTTTTCTTTAAAAATTCAAACAAAATGGCTATATTTTATACATAAATGTTCGAAGATGACGCAGTATGTTTGTTATAAGGATACAACATTGAATATCTATTTCCAACGTCATAAATTAATAGGAAACCAAATAATATGAATAAGAAGATCTAAGTGTTTATAGAAAATTAATAAAATCTTTTTATATATCTAAAAGACAAGAAAAATATGAAAAATAGTCAGAAATTAAGTGGCAATCAAAAAATTTAACAATTATACAACTATGAAGAGATGATTGAATAGGAAGAGATTTCAAAATAACTGAAAGATCAGTTAATACTTATATTAAACACTTCAAATGAATAGATTTCTGTCAAGGATGCAGTTGATGCAATTAAATCTGAAAATATTCTAGAAACTCATAAAGCATTAATTTAATTGAGAAAGACCTTGTCTGTATTATTGTTTCAATAATTTAATAAGAATTTTGATTAAGCACAAATATTTACTAATGAACTTGTACCACTCCTATTTTATTTAATCCAATTTGGAAGCACAATCATTATAAAATTAGAAGCTACATGTTTAATTAATTGTATATATTAGAAATCATCTCCATTTTTGCAGGAGGAAAAAGTGATATTTCAAGAATAATCTTTGAAAATGGAATTGTTTAACTGGCTATGTCTATTTTGCAAAATGACAATTCTGAATTATCAATGTTGATAATGGTCATATTAGGCAAATTAGCTGGAGATTCAATATAATATAGAGATTGTATACTTCAATCTTGTAATTTGGATAGAATTATAATGAAAATGGAATTAAGATACGAAGCAACCTATGTCTGGTGTTTAGCTAATATGTGTATTGGAAGACCAAGTCCAAAATTTAAAATAATAAGACCAGCCTTTAATATATTCATGAAAGTTATTATGTATGAACCTACATAAACAAATATTAAGATGATGAACGATGCAATCTGGGCACTTGGATACATGTTAGATGGTGAACCAACTAGAATATCTATATTAATAGAAAATGGAATTATAAATAGATTGATAGAATTAATGCATCAATGCAACTTTGTTTCCATTTTAAGAATTTTTGAATGTATTTTTCAAGGAAATCAAGAATAAATTCGTTATTTATTAGAATGTGGATTCCTATCCCAAATTAGAAATATACTTGATCCAAAAAGTAGAGAAAAGAGTGGCAATATGTTATAAACATTTGCAGCAACAGAAACCTTATTCAAAGTTTTATCTAATCAGAATTTTTTAATATCATTATTTAATTCTTTATAAGATGATAATTAAGAATTAAGAGGAGATGCATTAGAAATGATTGGAAATGCAGTATAACATGGTACGAATGAAGATGTATATCAAATGGTTAAGAATAAATTAATCTAGAGTATTTTGGGAATGTTAGAGTTAGCATAAATTAAAGAATTACCATCTAATCATCTTAAAAAAGGATTAGAAATTCTAATTAAAATATTGCGAAAAGGTGAAATCAGATCAAAAGATAGGTAAAACAATTAGTATTTTACAGTATTCATGTAGATCAATGGAAAAGATGTAATATAAAAGCTATTATCCTATAAATAGGATGACGTTGCGAAATATGCTTACATCTTTAAATAGGAATTCACCTTATGAATACATCAAAATTATAAAATATATCTTAATTTTCCTTTAATAATAATCACACCTTTTTTATACTGATTCCGTTAAAACTCTCTTTAATATAAACCATGTCTTAATTGTTTAAATGTTTATTGCTAAACTACCTTATCTAAATAGTTAAAAATAAAGTAAAAGAAAATGCATTTCCCCTTCTCAATCCTTAATTTTAATTGAAAAAAAAAATTAAATAATTTATCTACTCATTTAATACACATCTAAGATTGCAATAAATTATATATATAAAGAATCAATTATGAATATTAATTTAATAGATATCTTCATTATAAAATTATAATGTTGTCAATTCATACTCTTTTGATATTTCAAGTATTTATTTTGATATTATATTCAAAAATCATATATTCAACAGAATATTGATATAAATAGAAAACTATTGAATTATCATATATATATATATGTATTTAACAATTTGACAAATATAATTATCTGTCTTAATTTTAATTTGTATAATTGATTATTAAATCAATCAACATATTTAATATAATACTATATGTAGAGATCATTACATTAATTCAAAATTTGTTTGATCTACTATTTAAATAATAACAATATTATTATTTATAACACATTTTATTTTCAATAATGTTAGAATATTAATATTTCATAGACAATATTTTGATTCTACATCATCGATAACTCTATTCTCTACTTATATTAATTATATATAATCAATAAGAGAATTAAATGAAATTTAAACATTTAATACATCTACTTCATATAAATATATAAGCATTATTAAGTAATACCCATTAAATAAAATGTTTTTTTTTCTGATGTGAATCTAATTAAATAATTATTTTTTATATCTTATTTGATAATGCCCCCAAAAAAAGCAACAAAGAAAAAAACACCATCTCCATCACCTCCACCTGCCAAAAGGTCAACAAGATCAAAAAAAGAAGATAAAGTTGATGATAAGAAAAAGTATAAAGACATTAAATTAATTATAGAGATGTAGTCACAAAAGTCACTAAAGATGTATCTAAATCTAAAGGAAAGGGAAAAGCTAAATAAAAGACTCCATCACCTTCACCTCCACCTAAAAAAGCCCCTACAAGAAAGGATTCAAAGAAAAGTAACAAAAAGTCACCATCACCCTAACCAAAAAAAGTAGTAAAGAAATCCCCTTCTCCAGCAAAAAAAGACGAAGAATAGAATCTAAAAAAACTTGTATTTACAGGGAAAGCTCCTGTTGATGAATTTGTTTAAAATAGAGACAATTATATTGTGTATGAAGATGCAGCAAAAGTATATGACTGTATGATGAATTAAACTAATATAATTGGATCTAATAATAATAATAAATTCTATGTTGTATAATTATTAAAGAGTAAATCATCAGGTATCTTATACAAAATATATTAATTAGATACATTTTTTGTATTTACTAGATGGGGAAGAGTTGGATAACCTGGTTAATAAGCATTACAACTCTGTGGAGGTAGTCTTGATACTGCTAAATCTGCATATGAAAGTAAGGTTAGGGATAAGAGTGTAAAAGGAGATTATAGAATATTAGAAAAGGATTATAGTATTGATACAGATCCTAAGAATGCTGAAAAATTAGAGAAATTAAAAGAGTAGAGAGAAAAAGAAGCTTATGAAAAGAGTAAGTTACATTAAAAGATAAAAGAATTAGTAAGGTTAATCTTTGATATGAAAATGATTAATAATTAAATGAAAGAGTAATATAAATAATATATTATATTTTAGAATAGGTTATGATGCTAAGAAAATGCCATTAGGTAAATTAGCAGCTTCAACAATTAATAAAGGATTTGATGTATTAAAGAAAATTTCTGAAGAATTAAATAAGAAAACTCCTAATGTTACAACTTTATAGACATTAACAAGTGAATTTTATAGTTAAATTCCACATGATTTTGGAATGTAGAAAGCACCTTTGATTAATACACCTTAAATGGTTAAATAAAAATTAGAAATGTTGGAATCTATTTAATAAATTTAAGTAGCAACTAAAATATTAGAAGAATAAAAAGATGATGATTCAAATGTTATTGATGAAAATTTCAAAAAACTTGGAATTAATATGTAATATTTAGAACCAACTGAAGAAAAAGTTAAAGTAATTAAAGAATTTGTTAAAAATACTCATTGTGACACACATAAAAATTATGATTTAGATGTACTTGACATCTTTGAATTATAAAAAGATTAAGATGATAATAGATTTAAGAAAGATCTTGGAAATAGAATGCTTTTATGGCATGGATCAAGATTAACAAATTTTGTTGGTATTTTAAGTTAAGGATTAAGAATTGCTCCACCTGAAGCTCCAGTAACTGGATATATGTTTGGAAAGGTAATTATATTATTTAATTTATTTTAGGGTGTCTATTTTGCAGATATGGTCTCTAAATCAGCAAATTATTGTGCAGTTTCAAGAGAGAATAATACAGGATTGATTCTTTTATGTGATGTAGCATTAGGAAATACAAATGAAAAATTCTACTCAGATTACTATGCTAATAATTTACCACCTGGTAAACACAGTACTTGGGGTAGAGGTAAGACAATGCCACCACCTGCTTAAAATATTCCCTTCCCAGGTATGCCAGAAGTCTAAGTGCCTATTGGTAAAGGAGCTCCTTCAGGAGTTGCTAATGTAAATATAAAAAATTTATAATTAGACCTCTTTGCTTTACAATGAATTTATTGTCTATGATGTTGCTTAAATTAGATTAAAATATTTAATAAAAATGAAATGGAATTATAAATGATGAATTTAATTCATTTAAATAAATATTAAAATTTGATATTAATTATTATTATTATCTTAATATTATCATAAGATTATTGATACAATTTTACATTATTTTTTACATTAATTTAATATGAATGTATATATATATATGATATTTTTTGATTACTATGATAGTTTAAATGAATATGAATTGATAATTTAGAGTAATATAAGAAATTTGTGATTAAAAAAGTATAGATTTTTTTGAGTTCATAGGGTAAGATCAAAATAATGAAAATAAATTAATAATGTTTATATATATTTTAAATAATGAAAAACAAATGTATTCAAACAGATATCAGTTACTTTAGAAGAACAGATGAGTATTCATAAACAATAGATCATGATTTTGAATAAGCATTACAATTGTAAAACAATCCTAAATTGATTTCAATAAAAGAATAATTTAAGTAATTGTAAGATATATACCCTTACGATATTCATTTAAATTATGAAAAAGAAGAGTCAATTCAATTTCAATTATAATTAAAAAGCTTTTTAGATGAATAATCTACATCTTAAATTGTTCTTTTGATTAAAGGTCCTATATTTTCAATTGATGTATTATTTAATTCAACATTCTTATAAGAAGAGAAATAAGAAATTCTAAATATAGTTTCTAATTGTTAAAATTCTAATCTATTGGAAACAATAATTTAATTAGAAACTAAATTAACTGAAATTGATAAAGAATTTATTAAAAGAAGAGCAGTAAATTAATACAAATTTGTTAATAATTATTAATAAGTGGAATAATATAGTGAACTTTAAATAGCAAGAAGTATATCAAATGTATTTGGTAATATAAGTGAAGATATAGATATGAAGTAATCTATTCTAGGTTTTGATTCATTTAAGGATCATTTAGTAGAAAAGTATGACAATTCAGAACCTCAATTTCATCCTGTTTCTACATCAATTCCAATTGAATAAATATCTTAATTAAAAGCATGTAGTTTTTCTAGATTTTAATAAGATTTTTCTGAAATACAACTTATAGGAAGTGGAGGTTTTGGTAAAGTATTTAAATCTAGAAATAAATTTGATGGAAATTATTATGCTTTAAAGAGAATTGTTTTAGATTATTCAAATAAAAAATTAACTGAAAAAACTAAAAATGAAGCTGTTTTATTATCTAGAATACAACATCCTAATATTGTAAGATATTATCAAGCATGGACTGAAGAATATGTTAAAGATTAATATGAAAATATTGAAGATGATGAAGAATTTGTTGAAGATTCTGAAGAAGAATCTGAAGAAGATGAACCATAATAATTAAGAAAAGGTAGTAGTATAAGTTAAGAAGAATATTATGAAGAAGATATATAATATGAATATTAAGATAATAATGATATGGATTTTTAAATTGAATGGGTAAATGGTGATCAATAAAATTAAGAGGAATCCATTTAAACACCTGAAATCAAACCTCATTAACCAAAATAAAATAGTAATAAATAATTATTATATATTTAAATGGAATATTGTACAGGAGATACTTTAAAAAAAAAGATTGATGAACAAAATCTTACTTCAGAATAAAGAAAAAAGATCATTAGATAAATTTTAGATGCATTATATTATTTACATAGAAATAATATTATTCATAGAGATTTAAAACCTTAAAACATCTTTTTGGATGGAGATTTAAATGTCAAATTAGGTGATTTTGGTCTAGCTACAGAAATGAAATAGGAAATTAAATTCATTGATCATAAATTAATGAGAAATTCAAGTATGATATAAACTAATCAAAATCAAAGATCAGGTTTAACTTCAGGAGTTGGTACTTTCTTATATTTGGCACCTGAATAAGAATAAAGTTAATATGATTCAAAAGTTGATATTTATTCTTTAGGTATAATTTTATTTGAAATGTATTATCCATTTAAAACAGATATGGAAAGAATTAATTACATTACTTAATTAAGAGAATAATGTAAATTTCCAAAAGATTTTGATTAAAAAGTTGGTATGGTTGATAATGAAATTAGAGATAAGATAACAGCATTAGTGAACAAGGATCCTTAAAAAAGACCTGCTACATAAAGTCTCCTTAATGAATACAAAGACAAAAGAGTTTAATAAGTAATTAGATCTATTGCTAATCCTAATTGTCCTGATTTTAATGAATTAGTTTAAACACTTTTTGAATGTAAACAATTAAAATAATAAAATAATTTCTTTACTTCCTGTCTAGAGGAAGCTATTAGTTAAAGTCCTGAGACATTTTTTAAAAATTTTTAATCTGGTATTATAGAATTATATACAAGAATTGAAAAGATATTTAAATTAAGAGGAGCATTTTAATTAAATTTTAATCCCCTTATTCCTACATAAAATATATTGAAATTTTTATCTATAAGTGGTTAAATTGAAGAGTATGAAAATTGTCTTTATTAAAATTCAAGTTTTAGATATATAACTTAAGAAGGAGAATTAGTGTAATATTGTCAAAATCTAATTTAGCCAGTAATTTATTGGTTGAAATTACTTCCACTTAATAATTTTAAAAGATACACTTTAGGTGAAGTCTAACATTCTGATAGGCTTTAACTCTCGAAACATAATTGTGCATCATATGATATTATATTAGAACAAGATCCAGGACCAATAAAATTTATTGAATTATTAAGTATATCTAGAGATGTGATAAATTAATTTCATAATTTGAATAATTTTGAATTGAAAATCAGTCATACATAATTCTTTGAATTAATTCTATTAGAATTAGATTTCAATTCTTAAACTGTTATAAGAATGTTAAGACATTAAACTATTTTACAAAAAATTGCAAAACTTAATTCAACTATTAATGGAAGTTAATAATTTAAAGATTAATAAAAAGAAATAATTTTAATATTAAGTGAAGAGTTCAATTTTACTGATGATAAAGCTGAAAAGTTTCTAGCACTTATGACTTTAAAAATACCATAGATATATATAAATGAAACTCATCATTCATCAAAAACTAGTGAAAGTGGTAGAAAAACTTAAGAACCTAAACCAAAAAGAACATTAAGAGAATAGTTAAAGGGTTATTTTACTAAATAAGAATAAAGATTTTAAGAAATAATAAGTGAAATTGAAAAATTTGAAGAACTTGCAAAAGAAACATAAGTTTTATGTGATTTTAAAATAGTTTATGAAGTATTCTAAATGAATGAGTTATGGTATTATTATTCTGGAATATGTTTTGAAGTATAATATATTTATATTAATTTTTTTAGTTTGTTGAGATTAGAAAAGAATAAACATATTTAAGTAAGAATATGTAATATGAGATTATGCATTCAAGATCTGAACCTGTTACTAAAAACAAGTATATTATTTTTTTTATTAAAATAGTTGTCCGAAAAGACATCAGAAAGGTAATATTGATAGTTTTATTATTGGAGGAAATTACAGTCATTATATAAATAATAAAGAGAATGGGAAACATGCTTGTGGGATTTAAATATATATGGATTAATTCTATTATAGAAAATTTGTTAATCATTTGAACAACAATTTAAATGGTAGAGTATAATAAACATTTGATATATTTAAATGGCCTGATTGTTTAACTAATTTTAAGAGTCTTACTTTGAGTGTATTAATTGTGGTTGAAAATTTATAAATGAAATAAGCTGTGAATTTAGCTGTTCGTTTTTGGAATTATAGAATAGCTGTAATTAAATGTTATAATTATAATAGACAATGATTGTATGTAGTAAGAGTTTAAATAATTCAGCATGGAGTTATAAGAGGAATGTAGAAATAAAATTGAGTTTAACTAAAAAATTAAATGAAGTTAAATGTATAATGAAGAAATATCGTGAAAAGAAAGAGGAAGAAGTTCCATATTAAGAGATTTTATAAAGGACTATAAGTTATTTAAAAGAGTATGTAAAAAATGAAGGAGGTGAATATAAATACAGTAAAAGAGCATAATCAAAATAAAAATAGTGATTATTATTAACGACAATAATTTAATAAATACATTTGAATTTTTTGGTTATTATTTAATTTTTAATAAAAATTTGAAAAAAGAAGATTGGCAATGGTTTTTAAAATATTTAAGTCATTATTAGTCAAGAACAGGACCAAAGAATCAAGTGCTATTTGACGGAGAAAAGAGGAACTCAATAAGAACTTATAATGGTATAAGTATTAATTTAGATAATAGATAATGTGAACAACAGACAAGGATTTAAAATAGGATGGGACATAGATTAAACAAGAAAGGAAGATTTAAAAATAGCAGGGAAAGTTGGTTAAGATTAGAGAAATAATAATGGTAATACTTACCAAGGAAATCCTTATTAAGGCTAATAAGTAATAATTAACAATATAAAATAGGATGATGATTATATGAAGTAAATGTATTATCAAGAGATGAATAAAAAGTAAGAATAAGCTGGTATCTAACATAAATAATCAGAACAGTACTATTAAGATTCTCTTGACCAATACAATAATGGAAAACCATATGGAAATTACAATCATAATAATTAAGACAATTATAATCATGATTATGAACACTAATAACCATAATTATTGTAATAATCCAATAAATATGATCATTATCTATAACCAAATGATGATGAAGGTCTCTATTAAAAAGTATAACAGTTATTTTTATAATATAAGTATAAATAAGGAAATAGTGGTAACAAATCATATTCAGCAAAACCACCTATTCCACAATACAATCCAATTACTGGAGTTTCTTATGCTAATTAAAATACTTTAAATACAGATGTTACTAATAATTATCAAGGTGCTGCACATTAAAAAACTAATCCTTATGAATAATAATAATAAGATGATGCTCTCAGTTAATTTAGTTAATGTATTAGATATAAACATAAACAATAGTATAATAGCATAAAATTACATCTATTAAAAATAAGAGTTCCAATATTTTCAATGTAGATCTCCAAGAAACTGAAAATATCAATGATACTCGATAAAATAGTAGAATTTTGAATAGAAAGAAGCAATTAGATGATGCATAATATAAAGGCTATGGTAAGTAACTATTGTATCCATAGGACAATTTTATAAGAACCCTATTGAATAAGCTCCAACTTAATATAGAGAATAGAAATTTATAAACAGAAATAAGATTGATAATCACATATTTCCAAAATGATTATTTATAATTATATATATTAATATATTATAAATAATTATTACACGTATATTGCAATTATATAACTTAAATATTATTACATTGTAATTCAATAATTAAAATAAAATGAGTTAAGAAACTCTCAATGGAATCAATGGCATATTGTCTGATGTTTAAAGTTTTGGATAAGAAAGTTATAGATTCATTAGAAAATGCACTAAACCAGATAAAAGAGGTATCCCTAATTTTGAATTTAGAATATATAAAAATTGCAACATCATGTGCTATTGGATTTGTAGTAATGGGAGCTGTTGGATACTTCATCAAATTGGTATTCATTCCAATAAACAATATTATTTTGAGTGCAAATTGAAAAAATTTTACATTATTAATAGATATTATTAATATTTATTTAATGAACAAATTATAAAATAATCACCAACTTGATGCTTCTTTTAATTATTCTATTGCTTCATCTACAAATGAGTTGAATTATTCTTCTTCTTTAAACATATCAATGATTTCATCAATTGAGTAATTTGTTGGATCTGACAAAATTTCACTTATTCTCTTCCAATGTGCTTCTGTATCAGTATTAAGTCTAGCCTTAATTCTATAATAAAGCATTTATCTAAAATTATAGTCATAATATATTACTAAATTTATCTGAGTTAATCTTCTTAAGGTTTAGCTTTGAAAGCTTCTAAATTAGCCATCAAATCAACTAAATCTTATCTTTTATTGAAAGGAACAATTTGAGCAGGAGCTTATTATTAGAAATCAGGTTATTAAACAGGAGGAGGAATATTTGGTCTAATAGGTTAAGGAAATCCTGGAATTTATTATTAGAATGGTCTTCTCATTCCTCCAGGACCACCTTACATTCTTTATTACATTTAATATGGAGGAAAAGGCATTCTTTAACCAAATGGCATAGGTCCTTATGGCATAGCATTCATTCTTCTATTAGGTGATTATCTTTAATTATTTCTTCTTTATCCTCTTTATTATGATTATTGTGGAAAGAGATGTTAAAAGTATTTGCCACCTGCTGTTTCAACATTTGGATCAAAGAGTTTTTTAATTTCTTCAAACTTTTCATTGCTTTTGAAATTCTTAATCAATTTATTTGCATCTGAAGCTTATTCAAAAACAATATATCCAATTCTGATTATTTATTGAAAACCTTATTACATTTTTTCTAATCTAATCTAATATGATATAATCATAGAATTACCATTTGAATATCACCATATCCACATTCATTGAGAGTAGTTCTAATCATTTCTTCAGTAACATTTCTTGAGAGATGATCAGCATAAATATATTTAGCAAATATATTATTATCTCTTTATTATTTTCTATCTGTCTTAGTCTATGCCCATCCAACATACATCATTCTACCAGTACTTAATGGATCCCTCTTTTAATTAGTACCCAATGTTCTTTATGCTTCTTTAGCATCTTAATGTCTATTGAAACTAACAAATGCAAATGGAGCTTTTCTTTCAATATCAATTTTAACTAAGATTGATACAATTTATCCAAAACCATTAAACCATTCATCTAATTTAGTTCTCATTTCTTTTTCCTAAAATGTAAAACTTTAATTTTACTAATGATTCACGAACTTCTGCATTATCTAAATCATAATTATCAAGTGATGGCCAGAAATTCTTAATGTAAAGGTTATTACGTTTATCTTCTCTATCTGATTAGCCTTTCTTAACAAATCTCTTGACTATAATTGGTTTTTTCTCATTATACATGATAGTACCATCTGTACTATCAGCTAATAATGCATTAGCTTATTCCTTCTTTTCATATTACACCCAACCATAACCTAAACTTAAATATAAAAATATACCTCTACTCTTTTTATTCTCATCAATAGACAATTTCACACTAACAACTTGACCCCATTTTTAGAAGAATTCTTCAAGTTATTTTAATGTTATAGTCAATTCGAAGCCTGCAAAGAATAAGTTAGCATCCTTCTCATATTCTTAAATGTAAGTAATACGCATTGGCTCTCTTAAAAGTTACTTATAATTCATTGCTTCTTTTGCTTTACGAGCCTCTTCTTGAGATGAGAAATATATGAAAGCATAATGTTTAGACTTTCCAATTAAAGGATATCTATTTTAAGAATTGATAAACATACCTATGTAATTTTACAAAGCTTATTTATCCAAACTTTCTAAATTCAACATATAATTATTCTTCTGTAATACCCTCCTCTAAATCAGCAATATGAAGTCCATTTTCTTATTGTTTATTTTGATCTTAATATCCTGGGAATCTAAACACTAATACAATAAATCAAACATCTTACTTTGAATCTGATTTAATAAATAAGATTTAAAATTTCTTTAATTTTTTCTATATGCTATTCCCGCTTTTGCAGAGATTTTATTTATGCCAAAAGACAAGGACTTAAATTTTAAAAAGAAATCTCTATATAAATTTAGAACAATATTCTCATAGATCAAGATGGTCATTAATACTAAATACAAACTCAATAATAACAAGATAACTAAGGTACTACTATCTATTAAGGAATTGCATCTCAATTTGAAACTTTACTTAATAATAAATATGATGTAATATTTTACATTAGAATATTAAGACAAATATTGCAATCAATATGAAAAAAATAAATTTAAAAATCAGCAGAATCTATAATTTTATATCAACAAATAAAAAATAAGATCAAAAAATTCAATTAAGTTTTTCAAAAATCTGGTTAGAAGTAGTTATTAAGTAAATAGATTTTCCAATAATCAATACAAAAAAGAATCTGAATAAATACCACATAAAAACTCAGAATCATTAACCATAACTAATAATGAAATAAGCTATATTAAATATCTTGAATAATTAAGTAATGGCATAAGCAAAAGTATTTATTAGTAAATATCAACTTTCTAGAATATGTAATTGAGTATTTTAAGAAATAGAAAATTAAAAGTGATTAATTCATTAATTTAATCTATCCACTTCTTTAAATTGAATAAGAACTATTTGAATTTTAATGAATTAACAATATCATTTTTTATTCTCATTTTATTTATGTCTTTATCTTTTGATATTCTTCTTTAAGTTATTTTAATTCATCAGCAATTTCTTATTTTTCGGTTGTCTTCTTTCCTAAATTGATCTCACTTATTGCTAAAGCTGTCTCCAATTCTTTATTTACTTTTTTCTTCTTCATCTCTATCTAACCATCCAAATCCTCAATTGTCTTCATTAGGGTATCCAGAATTAGATCAGCTTCCTCTATTGTAGACATCTTCTCAATTTTCTGTGAGAGAAGATCATTCAAATATTCTTTCACATTCACATCCTCATCCTTATATTTGTTACCTTAATAAATTTACTTCCAAGTAATTGTAATCAATCTACATAAAAATTTATATATTTAAGAATACGAAGTAAAATAAATCAATATATTTTTAGTAAATACTAAATCCATTATATTGAAGGACAAGCCTATCTAACTTAACCAATAGGTTCCTAAACACTTTTTTACAATACAGATGATTATTCACTTAATGTTTCTCTAGTTGCTATACTCCTTAAATCCTATTTCTGAGGAGGGTTCTCAATATCAACTCTCCCTAATTTTATTTAATTCTCTGGATAATTTAATTTTACAAAAGAATACAGAATTAAATCCAAAAATATGTTAGAAATCTTCAAAATTGTAATTCCAATCAAATAAATATTTAATTCTTACTAATAAATATTAAAATTGTATATATACATTTGCACATTCTGCTACAAAAGTACAACTAACAAATAGTTCACAAAAGAAGTAAAATCCAACTATCAAATGCACCTCATTAGCCAATCTTTTCTAAGGGTTAATCTGACAAATTATAAACAAAATTAAAGCGATAACCTACATTCCCCCAGACCCTACTACTGAAATAGCTCGGTTAAAGTTGAATTTACCCATAATGTAACTATTTCTATATAGAAAAGTAATACTATAAATAAAATGACATTAAGTCTAAGCCAACTGCTATAATATAAATCTGAATTTAAATAACCAGACCAATCATCTTATTTGGTATCATTAATAATGAACATATCATCCCAAGTGATAAGTATTATAATATCATAAGTATTAAACAGTCTTATCTAAAATTCACTATATTTAAATATAGTAAAATCCCAATAAATAGACAAACAAGGCAAATTATATATGATTTCTTAATTGAATGTCTAGGTTTGATAAATGTGAGCCCCAAAATTATCAAACTCAATAAAAATTATAAAATTCCTAAAGTTATAGTTAGCCATTATTCAGATTAACTTTGTTTAATTTCATTATTACTTTTCCATTTGCAAAAAGAAATAAACCATGGCAACTAAGTTTGTTAAGACATGGAACTAAGGAATAGCAATACAACACATAGATTGCATCTTTAAATAAATAATTATTCGAAAATTTTGTTATTCATATATCATAAATATTATCATTTTTATATCATCATCAATCGTAATAATAAATTATATAAATAATTTAATTTAGATATTATTAAATATTAAAATAAAGAGTTATTTTATAATTAATTTAATATTTTATATAAAAAAATAATAGATTTTTCACATTCTTAATTTTAAAAAATCCTCTAGATCATTCTTGCTTCATATGAAACTGTATGTTTTTCATTCATCTATTCTAGAGGGTTGATCACCTAAATATGATATAATATTATTACAGATGGTATTGCTTTACCAAAGGAATCTGCTGCATCTAATGCTTATTAGCCAATAATTAGAATTTCCAGAAGGATTCCTCCTGACTACTGGCTGTTAAAATTAGAGCATCTACAAATTCAATATCATTAACTGGTAGTGTTAAATGTGAGATCAGCATTTTCTGCTAATATGTCTGCAGCCATATCAAAATATCAATATTTATAATCCAATAGTAATTGAGTTGAAAAAGTTTCAGGTGATTATTGAATCAGGATCATCCATATCATTTTATTTGAGTTATGTTTTCGCATGTTAAAATTCATTCTTTTCATATCTAATTAATGCTTAAAGCTATAAGATTTTGCCTTAATATTAAGAATTTTCAACAGAAGCACAAATCTTTAGTGTTTCATCATATAAACCTATATTTGAAAACACCATATAGGATTACTATCTTTGTAATAAGATTGAGCTAAATAGATTTTGTAATCATCAATTTCTGGATAATACTTGACTAATTATTCATAACTATATTAGATTAGATATACATAGCAACAGCTTAGGAAAAATCTTAACTCATAAAATGACAATATGCTAAGAGTGAAAGAGCTCTGCTTTTTGGACAAAATTATAGTTCATAATTCAAATAATTGATGGCATATTTATATTTCTAGTCTTTAATTAAATTATAGATTGTTCTTGTACGTAGCCTTCTACAATTGATTGGATCGGTTGCATTTTATATTTGAAATTATAATAAATAAATATATATATAATTTAATCACTTTTGTGTATATGTAATATTTCTCAAGTAAATTTACAAATAAAAAAGAATAGCTATATTTTTGAGTGTTCAATTGAATATATCTTATATATTAATATTTGAATCTTCATCATAATCTTAAAATAATCTAAATCATAAAATTCATAAATAATTAAATACCGTTTCTCAAATTCAAAAAAGTTCATATATTAAAAAGTATAAGAAAGTTCTACTTTATATGTCTTCAAGACACCAGTATTTGAATATAATTCCTAATTTTTAAAGATTGATTCAAGATTTCTATAATATTATCAAAAATGGTTCTGATTCACAAAAAAAGAGAATGTAAAAAAGAATAATCGTATATTCCGTTTAATCTAACCTACTTAATTAGCAGAATTTGAATAATTTATTATGTCATATCTAGATTAATTTTTATACAAGAAATGTAAGAATATCACAAACCAGCAAGATCATTACATTTTGCATAACAGAAAGCAGAATTCTTATTCAAATCTAATAAAAGATATCCTGAATTCGATCCAGCTTGTTTTTTAAATGACTTTGATGCAATACCTGATTAAAATTTGAGGTTCAAATCTGAAAATATTTCACTATTAACTAAATAAACTGATTAGAAAAAAGAAATGCAAAAAGTACCTGATACTAAAATTCCAGTCCTCCCTAAAATTAATTAAAAGTTTATTCGAGATCAAGATGTTGTTGAGGAAGTGTACTACTTACCTGAATCAAAATAGAAGTAATTACAAAAAAATAGATTAATTTTATCTAATAACATGCTATAACCCTCTTTAGATAGAATTAGTAAATCTTCTAGAGATCTTGATTAATTATAGGCCAAAAAAAAAAGAGTCGAATTCAATACTGCCTTGGAAATTGTAGACTTTGAAGGAAGAGTTAGTACTGAAATAATAAATCCTGAATAATAAACAATTACAAAATAGAAAAGATTTTCAAGACTTAAAACACTTGAATGTTGAAGTTAGGACATTATTTTATAATTTATTTTTCTTATTATAATAATTGTGATTAACTTAAATTTTGTATAATTTATTTGGATGTTGAACAATAACAATAGAGAATTAATAAATAAATTGAATTATCTAGTCTAAGTATAATCTACAAATATCAAAGAAATCATTAATTTAATTAAAATTTGTAATATTAAATAGTTTATTTACTATGAAGCAGATAGCAAAAATTTTAATGAATTTTATATTTATATTAATTAAATTAAGCATATAAACTTTAAAAGAGAGTATTTTTTAATAAGATTAAGTTATTAAAATAATTTGAATTAAGCATTTCTTAAATAAGTAAATAAAATTATTAACATTCTTAATTGTGTTAAATCATTACTTTAAAATTAACATAATAATTAATTATAAAATTTAAATCGAATAATATGAAAAATTCAAATTAATATAATTTAACATATTACAATTTTCAATATTAACTTGTCTTCCTTTTAGCTTAGGATGAAAAGTTAGTTCCATCAGATTAATTTATAAGAGATTTGACTCTAATATTCATAATACTGAATTATGGTCCAAATAGACCCAAAAATATTGGTAGTAATACTAAACCCTAATAATAAGATAATAAATAATTTTACATTAAATGCTCCCAAAACAACCATCAATATATACATTCTAAAATAGTAAAGTTTAAAAAGAGTTGATGGAGCAAATCCAAGAACAGCTACTCCTATAAATTTAGTACAAGCAATCCCCACAAATACAGAAGTTCCCATTGTAGACATAGCTCCAGTAACTCTTTCCCATCTTTTACCTTCACATAATCTAAATTTGATAACAATATGAGCAACAAATTCTACAGCCAAACCTATACAAGTAACTAAGTTAACAACACTCACAGCATTAATTTCAATCTAAAATAATACAATTTATCATTACAATAAAGCCTCCAAATATAACATTGGTTAACCATATAGTTCCAATTAGATTAAAGGCAATCAAAAAGACAAACAAAACCACTATGATAGCACAAACAACATCTTAAACAAGTGTCATAGTGAAGAAGATAGTTGCTAATGCAAGAAGTACATTTGTTATAGCCACTGCACGAATGTAAGAATATTGATCATAAAAAACATAAGGCATTGAATAAGGATACACTTTTTGATTATCTTTTAGTTTTGCTTCTTTAACTACTTTATCAATAACTTATCTAGTTTATTCTAATGATAAAATATATCCTGCTGAATTATGAATAGGTCTATGTTGAAATCTAAGTCTACTAGTTTTTACATAACCTTATTCATTAAGTACAATATCAGCCTCAAATGTTTCACCACATATACCATATCTTTGACAACATGGAGAATTTATTCTAACTCCTAAGAATCTCTTTAATTAAGTAGGTAAATCATAAAGTGCAATATCCTATGTTTCACAAGCAGTTGTCCATTCAGCTTTCTCTCTAATAAAGAGATTGAAAGAAGCCACCCAACTATATATAGGTGGTTGAACTGTTTCATTTAATTAAGATAGAGAATTAGACAAATTGGCAACTAAATCTAGATCATGTTAATTTTAATAATCTAGATTCTCTAAAATTAAATAAGCCAATGGTCCTATCTCAATGTATTTCTTTTCTAAAGTCATATAATTGAATAAATTTGATCCCTCAACCATAGACACTTATTCATCTAATCCAACTTATAATTTAGTTATTCCAACACAACTAATGGCAAATAATGCTACAAAGATAATTATTGTAGTAATAACACAAGCTGGTTTCTATATAAATGGAGAATAGTGTTTTTTAAAGAATGTTTGAATTAGTTTTCTATCTTCTTTAATTTAATAATTTGTATCCTATTTACAAATCATTAAATCATATCTTTTATGTTTTTTTCTTTATTCATCTAATGTGAGAAAGGCTACAAACATAGTGATTTACAATAAATAATCTATAAATACACCAACTGCTGCTTAAATACAAAATGATTATAGAGCTGGCATCTTAGTTAAAGAACCTACTAAAAATGCTAGAGTCTCACAAATAGCTGCAATTGTGATACTTGGACCTACTTACTTTAATGTATAACCCATTCTTTCAGGTACTGTTGGATGCTTCTATTTTTTATAATTGTGAGTAATAATAAACATATTATCAACTCCAATAGCCAATATTAGAAAAGGAATAACCTAAATAAATTATAAAATTTCATACTTCTAAACTGATCATAGTCAAACCAATGCTAAAATATGAGACCATTCCAATACTACTTATCATTGAGACAGCTACAATGAAAATACCACCCAAACCCAATGTAAATCCATTATAGATTTTACTTGGAAATTAACCAATTGCAAATCCAATATACATAAACATCATAAAATATGAAACTACAACAATCCAAGCATTTTGATTAGTTTCATCATCTATTTCATCTGATACTGATCTCTCTGCCATAAAAGCAACTCTATATTAATCTAATAATTATTCTCGAGGAGCAGGCATTAAAGATTTATCATAATACTTATATAATTTAGCATAATCTCTTTTATTCAATGCATCCAAAGTATCCATCCAAACTTCTTTCTCCCATTATTCAGCATCTTTCTTAGTAAATTCATCATTCATCAATAGATAAGTTACAGCCATAGTCTTGGCTTGAATATAACAATGATCACATGGTTAAGTATCATTTACTCTTTATTCACAATTTCTAATTTATTCATACATTATTATACATTCCACCAAATACTGATTCTAAAATTATTGGAATACCATTTTTATCACTGCATGGAATATTAGTTTGGTTTACATCAATTGATTCTGTACAAAGTGTTGTGAATTGTATGTCCTCATCTTTCTATTATAATAATATAATTATTAAACATCTAATAAGGAAGGATCCTATAACCAAATATCCATTGGACTTGGTACATAGCATCCCTTTGCAGATATTGGTCTGTAACATAAATCATCAAGAGTTGTATTCTTTCCTCCTATTAAGACTTTTCTATTTCTAATAATGTTCTATAAAAAGTAGATCACTTTTAATCCATCCTTTTGAAATACATTCACCCAATTCTCATCTTAATATGCTAATATAAATTAATTGGTTCTGTAGAAAGGACCATAGTTTTCTGCAGAACTTTCTTATTCTTAATAGGTTCTACTGCTTGATGATACCCATAATGCTAAAAAATATTATTAAATAATTTACACTAAGGATCTGTTAACACAGTTAGATTGTAAAGTCCCAAAGACATTATGCCTGTCACTGTCATGCAAATTACAAACACTAGACATGGATATTTGGCTCCAAAGAAACCAATATTATAGAAGAGGCCAGACATTAAATCTTATTAAAATAATATTATTGTAAATATTATTATTCATAAATTCCAATATTTAAATAAAATTTAATATTAATGTTGCATTCCACATTAGATATTTCAAGACTACATTAACATCAATTTATTTACTCACTAAATAATGAATAATTATTAAAGTACTATTAATCTTATATATATCAATATTTAATTTTTATTTATTTAAGATGCTTAATATTCAATTAATATAATTAAATTATTGAAATCTCTCTTTATGCTCTATTATTTCTTTATTTAATTGAATCTTAATTTTTCTAAAGAATTATTGTTATCTTTAATATTAATAACATAAAATATGATATTAACATTTGTCAGATTTAATATAAATAATTAGTATTTTTATATAAAAGACTTTAATTCTATATGATATGAATAATAAATCAAGAGGATAATAATAAATAATCTAAAATCATCTTTTTGCTAATATTAATTAATGTTTTTAATAAAATTCATTTAATTGTACACAAAAGAACTAATAAGAAAATGAATCTTCATCAACTTTAGATACACCCATAGCAAAATCCATTATATTATTAATTTCTTATATTGATAATTCTGTTAGGTCTCTCAATATCTCAAACAATAATTCTTTACTTATATTACCACACTTTATTTTATCGAAATCTTTCAGTACCAAACATAATTGATACACTGCTTTTTCCGATTTTTCATATTCATTCTCACCTGTTATTTTAAATTATTAAATTAAATGACTTTTTAATTTTTCTAATACTTCTCTATCATCTAAAGGTTTAATCTGGAATGCTTTGTCAGGATCCCTTACAAATTATCCTTCTTTGTAATTAAAAGTAGGTTCAAGTTCTTTAAAATTTGGTCCTGGTTTATCATAAGGAATTAATTATGGAGCTGGTAATTTAATTTCATCATTGAATCTTGCTCTTAGTTTATCAATGAATTCAGGGAAATAGATCATTCTAAGTGGTTACTAATATGAAGGTTCTTTATTATGCTCTAGTGATTGAATAATCATAGTAACACTTGTTTAATCTACCAATAATAAATCTTCATTAATAATTTTTCTCAATTACACTTCATCTATCAATTGATCTGCTTACATCATTTTCTAAGCTTTATCTTCATATCTAACCAAAATTGATAACATTATAGATTTGAAAAGAGTTTAATAAGCTTTTTCTAAATCAGTTAATTCTGCTTATTCATGTTTCTCAAAGTTTTCAGATACCAAAGTTTATAAGAATTCTTATACTTTTAGTAATAGTTGTTATTACTTAGAAAGTGTAAATAATCCATGATTAGCTAAATAATACCTAAATTCATTAAAATCTAATTAAGAATATCCAATTTCTAATGATCTAATAACAATTTTCAAATTTTCAAGAGTACATAATCCATCATTTTAAAAAGGTTTAAATGCTTAAGCAAGCATATTAGTAGTATATTTACTTGCCATTTCTTAAAATTCTTTGAAGATTTTAGGTAATTGCATAAGTTCAAGATGAGGTTATTTTGCATCATACATTTTAATAACTTCTTTAAAATAAAGTGGTCTACATTCCATTATCCAATGAACAAAAGTGAGAAGATTAAATTCTCCAAAATTATTTCTTTTCCAAATTAAATAATATAGTAGGGAACATTCATCATATGTCATTTCTACATTATATAATTTAACTTTTATCAATTAAATGAATTAATCTTTCATAAGAAATGGAAACATTTTTTAATTTCTTCTAATTCCTAAGAAATCAAATAATGCCATTTCAATTTTTTCAGGAGCTATAAATTGAAAAGCTAATTATGGTAAAGCTTATACAGATATCTTTTTGGATATTAAAATTTAAAAATTCTCTAAAATGATATTATTATTATGTCTAGAGAAATTAGCCATTTTCTCTTAAACAATATCATCAAAAATAATATTAACTGCATTAGTACTCAACAATTCTAAATCCAATAAATTTAAATTAAAATGTTTGAAATCATAGATAGCCTTACGATCAAAAAAATTTGAGACTTCTTCTTCAAAATGTTTCTAAATTTCTTCTAAAAATAATTTATTTGAAGCTGAATTTTATTTCTATCTAATAATTGCATTTTTAAACACATGAAATGAATTCTTTGGTGGTACACACTCTGTTAAATATTTATATAATTCTCTATAATCAATATTCCTATTAGAACTATAAGGAGCTTCCTTTAATATACTAGCAATATCAAATTCTGTAAAATAAAATTAACTTTTTGAAACTTCTACTAACACATCTCTCAAAACCTTTTCTTAAATAGTACCATCTTTGAATTGATCATATCGAGAACATAATTCAATAAAATCAAACTTACAATAATATATGTATTCTCTTAGTAATTACATACCGTCACTTAGAAATTCAGGATGATGTAGTTTATAATACTTATCTAAGTTATCAGTCATTTTTTTATTTTATTTAATATTTAATGTTTTTTACCTTTTTATTGATTACGCATCTAGCACATTCAATAAACATTAAGGATATTTATCATTCCAATATTGATAACTATTATATACATCAAAATCAATTAAGTACTATTTTGACCCTTCCAGAAGCTAGAAAAATATCTATAACCTAATTATAAGAACAATCAATATGCAATGCTAAATAAAGAACGTTAGGGTTTCATACTGAGATATATTAACAATTTGATGAAAATCAATATTTGCTTGCTTTAATTCAACTTACCCCAAGTTCCTATTTAATATATTCTTCAAATAATACTCTCATTTACATGGACAGTGACATAGCATTGTACCACTAATTTTCAATGGATAATAATCAATAAATCTCAATGTTAAAATTAGATTAAGATGTGATCATTCTTTCTAATACATAAGCTTTTCTTTTAGAAATGGAAACCTTATCTAAAAGATCAGTTATCTATAGAGAAGTAAAAGATTGGCAATCAAGAACTTATCGGAGATTGACAAAATTGATTAAAATCTAAAATAAATAGTTTTTGCTATCAGCAATAGGAGAAGATGGATTAGAACTCTATAGTGTAGAAGGTAGAAATATCACATTCACTAAGTAATTCTAAGCATACAAAAACATTGTTGATTTTGCTGAAGTGAATAACAATGTATATATACTAGATTCTGAATAAGGACTTATATGGTGTTATGTTGAATCTGCCAATCTTACTACTCAAATCAAAAAAATAGATAATATGCAGGGTGGAATTGCTGTTGATTCATACAATGGAATCAATGTCTTCGTAGCATATAAGTGGGTTCGTTATGCAGTAGTTGAATATATTGTAAACTAGACATCATAACATTGGTATAAACATAATATGATTTACACAAAAAAGATCTATGACGTAGATGCTCTTGCTGACTTTGCAATCATTTAAGGATAATATCATCATCTTGTTTTATTTAATTATCATTTATCTGATGAGAACACATACCTTAGACACTTTCGTTTATCAGACTTTCAAGTGTATTATCACTAAGATAAAGTCTATTTTAGTGGCATAACATCAAAATCCTATGTATTTTCAGAACTTTATGTTCAACCTGCCTAAATTACTTGTTTCTCTAATCAGACACCAATTAGTTTCTCTTACAAATTATAATATATCCAGTAGATTACTAAAAGTAAATACTAAAAACATCATTAAAAGTTTTAGGTTAGTATTATTGACACTTATTTTTATGAAGATTAAATAGTTTTGATAGTTATAGGTTGTTTTTTGATTCTTATACTTTTAATCTTGCTTTTGATTTTTTTGATAAAAAAAAATAAATCTATGTTAGCATAAACCATGGAGTTAGAAAATATTATTTTATATAAATATAAATAAGATGTTCTGAAGAAAGAAGATGATCCTCCTTAGATAGTATAATTGAACTTAATGAGTGTTAGAGAATCAAAAGATATTGAACATTTGAATATTTAATAATGAATTAATTTTTATGAACTTTTTATTGATTTCTTTGATCATCTAATTCATAAGTTATACGTTAGGATTCACTATAACTGAAATCGAAGAGCCTTTAAGTTCGATTAAAATACATCCGAATGAACATAAAACATTAATTTTAGATGATGCTAAAGATGCTATTCTATTATCATATAATCATAGTAGAGGTTGTGAAGTAACTCCATTATAACTCTAATTTGAAACTCAAGAATTCAGAATCATTCAACCTGAAGATTTTACAGAAAAAGATTTTGAATCAGACACTATTCTGAACTTTCGTTAATTTGTGTCAATGGTTCATATAAAAGATGGCATGTTAGCAATTACTTCAGATTCCATTGCTTATCTACTTAAATTTAATTATAATACTGTTTTTGAACATGATTTTGAAGAGAAAGGATAAAAATTTGCTAGAATTTTATGGAAAGCAGATCTTCAAACAATTGCCCCAACTTTAGTTGCTAAAAATGAATTACCACAATTATTATTTGCTCCTTCTTATAATTTAGCTTTTTTGTTATTTAGTGATAGTGCTTAACTATTTAGTATGGAATAGATGGAATCATAAACAACATCACTTGATGTATATTAGGTGACTGATTGGAGAAAGAGAGGATATAGAGGATTAACAAAAGAGATAGATGGATTAGTATTTAGTGCAGTTGGAAGAGATGGATTGGATGTTTATAAGATTATTTAAAAGGATCTTAGATTTATAAAGAATTTAAAATTGAAAGATTTTGGTTTGAATTCTTCAATAGAAATAGTTGATTTTGCAATAGTAAAACATGGTAAATTAGATGGATATTATTCAATGTTTTTATTGGATAGGGAATGTGGATTATTATTAATAGATATTCATAAAGATTAATATGTTAATTTTGGATTGAGATCATGGATAAATTTTTAATCTGGAGGTATATCAGTAGATACTAGAAATGGTAGAAATGTATTTATGGCTTATTAATCAATGAATCATCATTATGTACTTGAATACAATGTAGATTTAGATAATGGAAATTCATTTCAAATAAGAAAAAAGAAGATAGATCATAGAATTATTGATTTAGATGCAACAGAAGATTTTGTTATTGTATAAGGTGTTAATTAGCATTTAATTCTATTTTCAAATGGATATGATTTTGTTATGAATAATCATCAAGATTAAGTATTTAAACATTTAGGTTTAAGAGATTTTGCTTTTTTTAATTAATCTTATAAATTGGAAGATATGGATGATATCACTAAAGAATACTAATATGATGATTTCTTTTTTGGAATAACTGCATAAAGTGCTTTTCTGACTAGATTCTAGATCTAACCAATTAAATTGAATTGTTTCTATCATTAAACTGATGGTATTATAATTAATAATATTAAGTTGGATAAATTTTCACATATATTCTCCAATATAATACAACAGTAGAAGGTGTTTCAGATCTAGTAGTCAGACATACACAAAAAGTGAATATTGAGATTGTTAAGACTTATTTTTATGAGGCAGAATATTACTTATTATATTCAATTGGTTTTTTGTTGGGATCAGTATTGTTAATGGGATTGGGATATATAGGCTATTGGTTTTATAGTAATAAAAGGGAACATTAAATATTGGTGGAATATATTGAGAAAACAGCTAGAGAGAAGGGAATAAAGTAGATTAATGGATCAACTATTTAAAAGGGAGACGAAACTTCAGTTTTTTAATAAAATAAATCTATGTTATCCTGATAAAATTCAAAAACTATATAACTCATTTAATTTATAATTTAATTAGGCTAAATAATCTGATGTTTATTTTTTTTCATGTATCAAAGAGAAATCTATATTCGTATTTCCATTCATTATTTTACTTCTAGTTAAACACATCTCCATCATATAATCTAATAAACAAAACACATCATTCTCTTTTGCACTTTATAAAACTTATTTGGATATACTAATCACTCTCTCTTTAATTATCTTTTCTACTGATATTAATTAATTTAAATTTAAATCTCCTCCATCAATAAATTATGAAAAGTCTGCAGATAATCGAAGATTGGATAGTAATCCTATTCTATCAAAATACTGCATAGTATTAGTAAATAATTCAGATGCCAATTAACTTTCCTATTACATTTGACTTATAAATCTTATGTATTCAGTAGTCTTTTTGTATTATTCAAATAGGGCAAGAACATTGGATTATAGTAATTTGAATGAATTGGATATAAATTTTGCAGACAATAAACAAAGCATTTCGAAATACATTTCCTTTTTTTAATGTTAAGCAATAGTTGAAATATGCTAAGTCATTTCCACATTAACAAAATGTGAAAAATTAATTTACATCCTTTATAAATTATAGTTATTCAATTGATTCATAAACCTTTATGAAGAAGCATCACTCTATAGTATTTATTAAGATGCTGGTTGTGGTTATGGTTATTCCAATATATAACTACCAGTCATGTTTACATTAAATTCAATAGCACCTAAATTCTTCTCTGACTCAAACATGGCAAATAATTCTGACCATTCCATTCTTTTACTCTCTTCCTTCTCCAAAGCTCTACTCAAAAAGTTTTTTCCAAAATCAGATAAAATAGTTCCAGCTGGAAATCTTAAAGGCTATTTCATTACATTCACAGTTAAACTTTTCTCATCTACACCTGTCCATGGAGCCATACCATATATCATTTCATAATAGATTACTCCCAATGACCATATATCTGATTTAGTTGTATATTTCTCTCTCTTCAATATCTAAGGTGCCATATATAAAGGTGAGCCAACACAAGTTCTTAATAATTCTCCACTAAAATTATCAACTATTTTTGCAAATCCAAAATCTGCTATCTTTACTACACCTCTATGATTCATTATATTTGCTGGCTTTAAATCTCGATGAATGATGTTTGCTTTTACTAATTCTTTAAAACCACTAGCTAATTAACAGAAAATCTAATTAACTTCAGATTCTGGAATACGTCTTCCCTTCATTATATTTCTCAGATCACCATCTGCACAATATTCTGTAACTATATAGATTGAACGATCCGTATTAAATTTATCTATAAATTTCACAATATTAGGATGATCAAGTTATTTCATTATTTGGATCTCAAAGTCTAAAACATTTTCATTCTACATAGATACTTAATGCATCAATTAGATATTGATCTTTATTGATCATTGAACTATCTATTTTTTTTATAGCTACTTCCTAGTTTGTTGTCAATTTATTTCCTCTATAAACCTTCCCAAAAGCTCCTTCTCCCAATAGATATTTTGTATCAAATTAATAATCTCTTAATCTCCTTACACTTTATTCTAATTACTACTACATAGTAAATTATAAATTTATATAATCATTTCTATAAAATATTCATTGCTTTCAATATTTGATCTTCATCGATTATGTTTTTCTTCTTCTCTATATAATCATTCAATTCCAATCTCAATTATGATCTGTTCATATATTCACATTAAATATTAAGTAATTCATTCTTTATATTAGCTAACTCTTACACTTTTTTATTGTGAATCAATTCCAACATTTTAAAATCTTCCTTTACATCTTCAATCTTCTATTAATTGAACTCTAAAATTTACTATTATTATTATTTCTGTGAATCATCCCTTCTAATGAATAGTGATTCAGCCAGACTATTTATTCGATCTAATTCTTTATTTATTGGTTATTTTGTTTATAATAGTGAGTGATCCCAATTCTAAGTGTCTATCTTATTTTATTAATAATAATCTAAAGGATTACGAGATTCTATAATTCTATCTTAAGTTTTTGGTTTATATGTTGACATCCCTTAATATTTACTAAACTAGTTCAATTCATTATTAAACATATAAAATAAAATCTTATTTAGTTTAAATTAATCAAGATCGATCTTAAATATTATTATATATTCATAAAATTGAAAGAATTAACAAAAGATCATTCTAAATCAATGTGTTTTAAACTTCTTGCATTTATTTGATTGACTTGAAAAGGTATCAAAATATATTAATTTAAATTCAATTCAATTTTGAATTATTCAATTATCTAACTTGAACTAATCAATTTAATATAATCTTATATTGATTTTAATGCTTTCTTTACTTTTTCTATTTAAAAATTACCTGAAATATGAAGCCATCTCTAACTCTTCTCTTCATTCGTTAAACAAATAGAAAGCTATTATCCTTGTGAATTTTCAGCTATTATTAATAAAATCAACAAAAATATATTCTATATCGTATTGATATTACTATTACCAGTTACGAATGCCTTAACTGATAGGTTAGTATACAAATTGTGTATGATTTATGCTAAATTATAAATGTTAATTTCGCTTTCTCTTAATTTTGAGAGTCTTAGATCCTCATATAATTATAAGATCAAGAGTTTTCTTTCAATAAGACGACATTTCAATAAAGACAACCTATCTTTATGACTTAATATTTTAAGAAGGAGTCTAATAAAATTTCTATGTCTTATTTCATAAATTGATGTATCTGGTTATTTTTATTTAAGGAAATCTCTCATAAGAAGTAATATAGTTGGTTTATTTCCATAATAAATTGAACATTCAATTCTTATCATTTTTCTTAAGTATTCTACTACCAAAGTCTTATTAAAAATAGATGCTCTATCCACTCGATATTTCTAAATTTGCATAAACAAAAATTTCTCTAATTTATTTCCCTTATATATTGAATCTCTAATGAAATTTGATCCATCAAATTATCTGTTAAAAAAGTTATTACATTAAGCCTCTGATTTCAGAGTAAATTACATAGTATCTTCTATAAAAGATAAGACTATATATGGTTATTTGAATGCAATTGAATTTAAGATTTTTTCCCAATGAGAATCATTCAAAGCCAATAAGAATTGATTACGCATAGCCTTATGAAAATGATATAAATAACGAATTGTATAAATGATGACAAGCACAGAACTTATGATTGTTGAGAACAGTAATAAATTAGAAGCTATTTAAACCAAAATAATTTTCATAATTCCTATAGTTATGACTGATATAGCTGCATCCATGAACTCACCTGAAATAAGCATTAAAAAGTTTGCACCCATAACATTAGATCCCTTAAGAAAACTATTGTATGAATCATCTTGTTCTGATACTTGCAAACTAAAAAATAATGAGATTAAGTGATTTAATAGGATTATGGCAAATCGTATATATTTAGTATGTTTCTTCATTATACCATATTGAATAAGCAAGTAGCAAATAAACAAACAGTATTTATAAATAGTTTGATATTCATTTAGTAAAATACTTTCGATGATTTTAGTTAATGCAACAACTAGAAGACCCAAAGTCATAATAGTAAGAGTGAAAACTCTAAAATGTTATTAGGTTATGTTTTGATAGTTAGATTCAATCTCTTTGTCTTTGAAATTTAATGTATATTTATTCATGATTGGATAAAATATAAAATAAGTATGTAATATAATGATTTTAATTAAGTAATTGTAATTGAAATATTAAAATTACTCATTTCAATAATTCCATCACTTTAATGAATTGATCTAAATTTAACTATTATTATAGATAATACATATATACTTTTTTTTCTGGTGCTAATTCATCAAATTAGGCTTCCAATTCTTCATTAATCACATTGAGATATTTTGTAACATTATTAGCTCGAATTTCTGATTTATTGTTACTAAGAAGATAAAACATAGTTTCAAGATTAGTTTTAGTAAGCAACTAATCTCTAGGAGCAGCTAGCGATAAAAAAGTAAATTATGCCATCTACTCTTATTTTATTGAATGAATAGCAAAAATTTAATCTATTAAATTTTCTAAATCCTTCAATTTAGTATATTTTTCAAACATCTTAATTAATTCATCTTTTTTAATTATAGTGTCCATATCACTATCAAATTCACTGAATAATTTTTATAATTGTAGAGCAGTCTCTTATTCAAATTCTTATATCATTATTTCAAGTATGGCTTACTATAATATACAACTTTCCTTTTAATTAAGCATATTCATTAACAATCTTTCTTATAAAGGTATTTCTGTATATTTTTGATCAACTATCCATTTGCTAACTTATAATTCTTCTAATGTTTTTCTTTTTTTTGAATTCTTTTCTCCAATTACAGATTACAATAAAATCTAAAAATCCTTTGAAAACTTTTTAATATCTGATTCTACATCAAAAATAGTATGTAATATTAATTATTTTGCAGAAGGAACATCATTTATATATTTTGGAGGAAATTTATATGGAAGACTACCCTTACCTAATGTATATAGTATAAGCATCACTGCCCAGAAATCTCTTTCTGGTTTAAATTCTTCATGATATAAAAATTCTGGTGGTGTATAATAGATTATATCTATATCTTCTATTTTTTTTGTTGAAATTGGTTTAACATCAACAAGTTTAATATATACTTAACCAGATTTAAAATAGTATTCCCAACTGTTAATTGTTAAATTACCATGATTTAATTATAAATTTTTAAGATAACTAAGTACTTAAAACATTTATTCAGCAATATTTGCTAAAACTATTTCAGTAAGATCTTCTGAGTTCAATAATCGAGATAATTTCCAACCATCAAAATATTCTAAGACTAATTAATATGCATTATTATCTTAATGAACTTCTAAATTCTTTAGTATATGTTAATGATCCTATAATCATAATAATAAATATAATTCTTACTAATTGATTAGATTTTAACCAATAAATATATTTAATACTATCTTATTCTTCTTTTGATATCAATTCTAATCGAGCTTTCATACCATTTTTATTTCCTTATATAAATGACAAATCAGGCTAAAATATCATAATTTTACTCTTTACATTTCTCTAACACTCCTTGTTATATAAGAATGAATATTTTTTTGATGCATTTGTACTAAAAAATTGAACACCTGCTTGTATTGAACCTCTCTATGCAGATTAAGGAGATCCAGGAATATTTAAAGATCTCTGTGATCCAGATCTAATATTTCTAGAACTCATTTATTTTTATGGTTTTTCACCTTATTTAGATAGGTTATATGATAACACTGATTTTCTCTTATCTTCAACACCATTCACAGGAGAATGAATACTGTATTGACTATTTTGATTAGGAGGAGTATTTTAAGCAGAAGCTTCTCTATTCAATTAATTTTAAACTTATATATCAGGCTTTGGTTCCTCAATAGATTTATTAGGAAGTATGATTTTTAACTATTGTTTTTATCTTGGAATTTTTGAATTAGAGCCAGATTAAGAAGAACAGATTCCCATATGTTTATTATTTCTTATTGTTAAATATTAGAGTAATAAGATATCAATTTAAAAAGAAGTATTCATAAATATTATACTTCCCGTATTACTTATTTATTAAATAATTAAATCTTCAAAGAGGGATGGCTGTCTAAAATTCTAATTACTTAAAATTATAAAGTAATAATCACAGTAAACCAAATGAATTGCCAATCTACAATGATTAAAAAAAAAAACTCATTAGAATCAGAGAAATAAATAATAACATTATAAACAATGAATATTTTGGTCAAATGTAAAACCAAGAACAACAAACAAAACCGAGATCCATCTCTTTATAAGATAATGAAAAAACTAGATTCCATAATGAACTATATAATCCTATTTCTATTAATCAAAATAATTCATTATTCACATAACCTAATTAATAATTCTAGATGGAACAACTTCAATTATATACTTCTAGATGGAATAATAAACAAGAATATAATGATTCATAGAATATCAAATAGATTAATGCATTCAATGAAAAGAATTATTTGATAAATATGGGTGACTAAATAGACTTTGCTTTAAACAAACAAACATAAAATTCTATAAATAAAAAATAGTAATTCAATAATAATATTATAAAAAAATAGGAATATAATTTGCCTACTATTCATTAAACAAATCATTAGATCTAATAATAAAATTCAAGACCTTAATCAATATAAAAAACAATTAAAAATGATTCTTTGAATTGTACACAATCATCCTTTATGAAAACTTAACGTTCTGTTTGTTATTAATGCAAATAAGATATTTTAGGAAACAAAATAAATTTAAGTTGTTGGCATCATTATCATCAAGAATGTTTTTCAGAAATAATAAATTATCAAATAGAATTAAAGAATAAGAGTAAACTACCAAAATGTTTATGTGGAATAGGTATCAAACAATAAGTAATAAAGTATTTGCCATCTGGATAAAATTTTATAGAGGCTTTGATGAAAAAATAATTGGATCTAATATACAAGCTATATTCTAACTTATTAAATTAATGTCCTACTTGTCAATTCAGATTTATTTATGATTAAAGATTAGGAAAATTGTGTTTTTGCTAAAATTGTAAAAAAGTATTTAAAATATTATGATCAATATTCTTCATATTATAAATTATATAAAAGTTTAATTTAATAATTAATTATTATTTAATGGTTAAGCGTAGCAAAGAGTAGTTCTTTAAAAAGAAGATGAATACAAAATTTAAGTCATCCTAAAAAGGATCAAAAAGTGGAGCATCTACTAATCCAGATAGAAAATTACCTGAGAAATAATTAAATGCTAAGCATTAATTTTTTAGATCCAAATAAACAATATAGAGATTAAATTTGTACAATGAGAAACCTAATAAGTATTTTATAATTTGAATATCTAGAGAAGAAATGTGGAAACAAGCAACACAACCTGCAAGAGTAGATCCAAATAGAAAATGGTTTGGAAATATTAGAACAATTGATCAATAATAGCTTGATAAATTAAGATAAGAAATGGCTAATAGAACACATGATCCTAGAAGTGTTTTAATCAAGGCTAAACAATTACCATTATCATTATTAGTAGAGGCATAGAAAAAGAATAAAAATGTTCCACTTTTGGAATTGGAGAGTTATGAAGTATATATATATCCTTTACAAATTTATAGGATACATATGGACCTAAATCAAAAAGAAAGAGAATTAAATTAAATGTAGAAACAATGGAAGGATTGGCAGATCATGCTTAATAATAAGAATAAACATATGTTGTTGAGAAAGATGAGAAATTAAATCCAGTAGAGGTTGTGTAAAAGGAAAGTAGAGATAAAAGATTGACTGCTGGTTAATCTAAGAGAATATGGGAAGAATTATATAAAGTGATTGATTCATCTGATGTGTTGGTTTGTATTCTTGATTCAAGAGATCCTATGGGCACAAGATCATATCATTTAGAAAATCATATTAAAAAGAATTGTCCACATAAACATTTAGTAATGTTAATAAATAAATGTGATTTAATACCAACTTGGTTAACATCTCGATGGGTTCAATATTTATCAAAGGAATATCCAACAGTTGCTTATCATGCAAATGTGAATAAGGCTTTTGGTAAAGGACCATTTATAAATCTTTTGAGATAATTTGATAAATTCCATAGGGATAAATAAACTATTTCAATAGGTTTTGTGGGATATCCAAATGTTGGGAAGAGTTCTGTTATTAATTCATTAAAAAAAAGAAAGGTTTGTAAAGCTGCTCCAGTTCCAGGAGAAACAAGAGTATGGCAGTATGTAGCATTGACAAAAAGAATATATTTAATTGATTGTCCAGGAGTTGTGTATTAACATGAAGGGAAAGATGATGTTGAAGTTGTATTGAAAGGATGTGTAAGAGCAGAGAAATTGGAAGATCCAGAATATTATATTCCAGCATTATTAGAAAAAGCAAAGGCTTCAGATTTAAAGAGGATTTATGATATTGATGATTGGATAGATGAACATGATTTTCTGAAGAAAGTAGCAATAAAGAAAGGAAAATTGGCAAAGGTAAACAATTTAATTATATCAATAGGGTGGAGAAGCTGATACTAAATCAACTGCTAAATTGATACTTATGGATTGGTAAAGAGGTGAAATCCCATTCTTGACATATCCTCCTGATTATGTATAAAAAGAAGTTGTAGAAGAGAATATAGATATAGAAGATCTTGAAAAGTAATAAATAGAGTTGAATGACTAAAAATTATAAGAAATACTTAAGTAAAATTGAATTATATGTTTATTTGTTCTAAATATTTGTTTAATAAAATAAATTCATTTTTTTAGAATATTTAATAAATTTTAATAAGAATGATTTCATCTGAACGAGAATATCTGAATGTAAAAGGATAATAATATCAAGCAATTCATTCAAAAAGGTATAATTCTCCTTGTGAGAGTACTATCAGCATAAGCTAAACACCTTCTCTCCCATAACTAAATTTATAAGCCAAACAAAATCTATCAAAACCTATTTCAAAAGATTTTTCCCTTATGAATTCTATTCATCTCAAACCCTTAATTTGCAAGAATAAATCTTGCATATATCTAGTTCGAAGTTTGGAAGAGAAGCTTTTGAAATGTATTTTAAGGATTAAAGAAATTGTTAAAGAAAATAATGTATTAAGGAAGAAATTATAAATGGAATAAGTTATTGTAGATTAAGTCATACCTTCAACTCATAGATCTTAAAAATCAATGGATTTTAATCAATATCCTGATGATCAATCTTAAATTATGAGATCTAATATACCTAGTATACATGAAACATATCAATTCTCTAAGTTTCATAATGAAGTTGTTATTACTAAACTTAATAAATAGATAAAAGATATTTTCAACAATTTAAATTATACTATGTAATAACCAATTTTAGATTTGAATTGGAAAAAGAACAATCAACTTAATAATTCTTAATAATAATTTCATAAATGTTTAAAATGTTCAACTAATATCACAAAATAAATGATTGAATTAGAGTGTAATCATTTCTATCATAAAACTTGTTTCTGTGAACATATTGTTTCTTCATAAAATTAGAATAGTATTTGGTGTTTATGTAAATAGAAAATTAATGAATTAGATATGTTTCAATTAGCTAAGACATAGAATATCATCATATAAGAGATGAAACATATTCAATAATTGAGTATGTTGATAAAATCTTTAGATAAATTTTCATTTTATAAATGTGAAATAAATAATTGTGCTTTTATTATTATAGCATCAAAATAGGAAAATCAATCAGGCATTCAATCTTATTGTTAATCTTGTTTAGAATTTAGATAATTTTATATACAAGAACAAAATCTTAAATGATTCAGTATTTCTATATAAATATGATATTTAATCAAAAAAATTCTAAATTCACAAACAACAAGAGAAAAGAAAGGAAGTCATATTTCGTTTCAACATATTGATTATTTCTTAATTTTAAGTTACCTTGATTGCTGATCTCAATTCTGTATTTGTATATCTTTCAGCATCCAACAACAATCTCACACATTCTAAATGATGCCATCTAGATGAAACTTCTAATGGACTTTCAGTTAGATCCTAGAATATACGACTTCTAATATGAGTATTGCATTCAAGAGACAACAGAAATTTAATAACTTTTACATTCCCATTCTTAGATGCAATGTAAAGGGCATTTTATCCATATTAATTGAGGGAATTTATAATATGATTAGGATCTTGAGGGTTTGTAAGATTACTGGAATAATATGGATCAAATACCGTTTGGGATCTCTTTGGAGTATTTTTATCATATTTTAAATGTCCTCATTTGAACCTGACATTGAATATTAAGTAAAGAGGCATACTAATTTGAATTAATTGAAAATTTCCATCAATCTCAAATCCTAAGAATCAGTAGCTGGATGAACCTATTTATAATTATTTTTATTATTATAATGACGCTGAGTAGATCCAAAATTATCATAAAATTATTCCTAATTTTATTTAGTTCTATTTTACTGTAGATGTGATAGGTTCAACAACAGGTTATTATAATCTCCAAATTCCCAAAAACATATTTCCAACGGCTTTGAGTTTATTTTTTTAATGTGGTGTAGGCAATACAATTAAATCAGTATTATGAGATTCATAATTCCTTTAATATTGACAATATAATTGATTATCCTCTTTTTATATAATTTCAGAATTAGATTTAATATCTCTGTTAAATTCAATAAGTTCAGAACCATTTACTAAATAATTTAAATGATTTTATACAATTCTGATTAAATTGTAAGATATTATCAACATTAATTTAGAACTCAGATTCTACTTGCTATTAAATCAAATTAGAGTTCTTACTTAATTCTAAATCAAGGGATTTGTTAAATTGCATTCCTACTTAACAACTTCTAATTAAGTATGAGAATTCCATCTTTCAAAATACCCTTTTGGATTACTTAAGCTATAAGTTCTCATAATATTAGTATCAAGACTGAAATTATTCTATTGAGTTTAACACTATTCTGATTAAGGAATTTTATGTATTCCATCTTGTGAATGGAAACTATGCTCTAAATTAGGATTCATAAAATAATATAATATATTCTTTTAATTTTTTATTCAATTTGGTATAATGCGTAAATATAATTCAATTTTCATTATTTCTAATACTTTTCCCAATATTTATTATAAGATTAATGATTTTAAATCAATTGATCATGAGTACCCTATTTGATTATGAGAATAATATATACATATTCAAATTGACAATTCTTGCCCAAATACAGTATCTTGTCTGCTACTTTAGTTAAATGCAATCTATGTGTAATAATCAAAACTGTCAAATCTTGGATCTTTAAAACTTATTCTAAGGTTTCAATGAAGAATTATTCATTATTTTAATCCAAAGCAGATGTAGGTTCATCCAATAATAATATTTTAGCACCTCTTAATAAACATCTAACTATTTATAATCTCTATTTTTCACCTCCAGAAAATTTATCTAAAAATATACTATAAAATTCTTTTACTTGCTTAATCTCCCATCTAAGTATCATATTAATTTGGTAATGATTCAATCAATTTAGATAATTTCAATTATTTACAAAGACTCTTCATCTCTTCTTCCTTTTATTTGATCATCTCAGGTGTAAGATCATAAATCAAATCAAGACCATATAATAGATTATTTTTAATGGAATCATTAAAAAAATATGATTGTTATGCTACAATACCAAAATATTTTCGAAATGATTCCAACTTCAAAGTTTTGATATTTTAATCATCAATTGATATATTACCTTCAGAAGGATCCAACAATCTAAACTAAATTTTTAGTCTAAATTACTTACAATTAAATTAAACAATGTAGATTTTCCTATACCACTTTCACCTACAATAACAATCCATTCACCTCCTTTAATTTATAAATTAAAATTCTTAAACAGTTGTTTATTTTCAATATGTTCAAAAGAGATATCTTATATATTGATTGAACCTGTTTTATAGATGAAATCCTTTGCATTTGGTAAATCCTATATTTTTGGAACTCTTGTCATTATCTACAATAGATCTTTCATGTCAATGGCAGATTCAACCCATTCTCTATGCATGGTTCCTAATAGAAATAAAGGTTGAATCAATTGAAGCATAAGAGATTGTATAAGTATCAGATCTCCAGGAGTGATAACACCAGCTTATACTCCACTAACTCCTAAAACTAAATTGACTGTCAATCCCATAGAGAGGATTAATCTTTATATAGCATTTAGAGTAGCTAATGTTTTAAAAGTGTCTATTGATAATTGTTGTAATTTCTTTTAAATTTAATACAATTATTTACTTCTAATAAATTATTGTATCTTTTTAATTCATATTTTTCTGCACTAAAATACTTGACTGTGAATAGATTATCCAAAGCTTGTGATATTGTAAAATCAGCCAACTTTTCTTGTTTCTTTCTTTGTGATATAATCTTTCTTCTATACTAATTAAACATCTCAAACACAATCATACATTTGAATAACGAATAGTGAATGCTGTGTAAGCAACAAATGTCACCAGAAATGATGAAAAGAATGGCCAACCAAAATTAAAACAGAGTATGGCTGTTGTTAATGAAATGTCTGCTAAAAGAGGTACGAAATATTAATTCAAAGATCTTAAATTTGATTCAATTCCTTTTTAGGCTTTATAAAGGGAATATATGTTTGATCTTGATGAAGTATTTAAATGAAATTCAGCATCCAAATATAATAAGTGTTCATATGTTTGTAGAGACATTTCTCTCAAAGCCAAAATATTGATTTCAGATAGATTTCTATTTCTTAAGCCTTCAAAGTATACATAGGCAGAATAACCTATTTTATAATAATAATGATTACAAACTCCATAACCAATAAAAAATAAAGGAGAGTACATAATAGTAGCTGGATTCGAAACCATATTTATACCATATTTAATACAAAAGGGTCCTCCAAAAAAGAAGGATTTGTTCATAATCAAATTAAAGTAAGCCTTCATTTATAAGGACTTAATGGAATCTAATATATAATATTCATATTATTACTTGATGTTTAAGATGTTGGCAGACAGTACTTTTTATAGAATTAGAGTAATTTAATCTGACTATCCTGAATTTGCAGTTTATTTTTGAGAGTCTATAATAATTTATTATTCATAAAATAATCATTAACTCTTATAATTTAAAGTAGAAAAATGGATTAATAAATAGTTGTTAACTAATATATATATATATAGAAATGACTCAAAAATATATGTAATAAATTATCAGAATATATTCATTATTAATTATACAATTTGCAGTAGTAATCATGTTTAAGTTAAACTTTTTAAAGTTGATTCCTGATATTTACATTATCTGCTATCATTAATTATTCATATAATCTAGCCTAACTCTTAAAAAGTTAGATCAAATGTGCACAAATTTCTTTATAACTCATTTAATGATGTTAAGAATGAGGAGATGTAGTGACTCTAACAGGTTTCCGAATTTACATTAACTCATTTTCCTTATTAGGGGAGTGCAATCTTAATCGCGGTTTTTATTCACTTAAATTAAAATCTTGAAATATACGTTTAAGGTTTATTCATTCTATAAAATGGAGAACACTTGCTTATTCTAGGGTGTTTCTATGCACTAAAACTACCATTAATTGCTAGTTCATCTGCACCAAAAGTAAATCCGGCAAATGAGGTATCCATATGTCTGTTATAATTAATATTAATTATAATGAAAGTATTAAAATACTTAATCAAAAGAAAAGAATGTTGACATTATATAATCAATTAATATATATATATTATATAATTTAATTTATGGACGAACAGTATTCTGATTTATGTGAATTGATATTGGATCAAAAATTTGAAGTTAGAAAACAAGCATTGATGTTAGTGCTCTAATATGCTTAGACTGAAGAAGATAGAAAGAATTTCTTATAGACAAATTTAATATTTAACTTAACAAAATTATTGGGAGATGAAGATGTAATGACATCAGTTTTATCTGTTATTATTCAATTTGCTATAGATGAATATTATTAAGAGTAATTCCTAAAATTACATACACTTTAAAGAGTAATGGAAATCATTAAAGAAAAGATGCTAAATTTTTATAAGACTAAATAATCAAATGAATAATTAGAACTTACAATATAATTAGGATTATTGGCATTATAAAATATTACTTAAAATGAAGAAGCAAAAGAGGCTTTATTATAATTACAATTTAATGATATCAATAGATGTTTTTATTTTAAATTATTTTGTAATTTCTTTGTTGATGAAAGATCAATTTAAATGTTTACAAATTTTAAATAAGTATTATTGAATGTCACTTCATCAAGTAATGTTAGATCTCAATTAATAAAAGCTGAAATGAAAATGATGGAATTCTTTTGTAAATTATTAGAAACAGGTGAATTATTTGCTATTTAATTAATTAAAAATATGGTATTTGAATATGAATAATAAGAAGCATTAGAATAAATTATTTAATTATAATTTATTGATAAAGTAATTGATTTTATGGCACATGATATTGTTATAAATCATGAATTTTTTGATTTAGAAGAAGGTGAATTGGCATTCTAATTGGCTGTAATGAAATTAAAAAAATAATTCAATAAGACAGAATTCTAAATTAGAGTATAAGAATCAGTAAAATGTTTACTAATTATGACCAATATAGAACCTAATTTAACTAAGAATACTTATAATAAAGCAAGATTGGATCTAATAATTAGATAATTAAGGAAATTATAATTTGTTGATAAAGATTAATTAGATGTGATTGAAACAGTTTATATTTAAGCTTAATGATTATTATATTAATTATTGATATGCTTATATAAATATATGATTTGTCAAGAATATTCATTCAATTGTATTGAGATTTTAAGAAATAGTATCTAATTATTTAGCATAACTTCGAGCATATGGTGTTATTAATTAAAATTCACCAAATCTATTTTCATAATTCTCCAAAACAGATATTCGACTCATTGTTCTAAAAGAAGGTTTTGTTATGAGTCTATTTACATAATTATACATATCTTTCTTTCTAGGATTTATTTAATGTTTGATTTATTATTATTTCATTACATTAGTTGTATATTAATCCTATATATTTTTTTGGATTTATAATAAGTATCCTTCATGTATTCTCTACATTTCTAAATAGACTTATTCATCGAAATAAGCCATCCATTAAATGAAATGAGTAAGTTGTTATTGAGGACGAAGAGTGTATTAATGAGGCATTTGAGAAATTAATTATAAAGTGCATCTGGAGAGAATTAGATCTTCATTAATATATTGGATTGGCACCTTGAATACATCATGGATTTCTTTTAGATGAATAGTTTAAGCATAGATTTTTGTGAGTTAATTTCTTATATAAGCATCAGTACGATATTTACGCATTTCTTTAACATTTTTACAAATTCTTGATATGTAATAACTTAAAGGATGATGATTAAACTTAAGATTATTAACTTAAGTTTTAATTGAATCAGTAACTGTATACACAATTTAAAATCTATTTGTATTAGTTCGAGATTCATCAAGACTAGAGTACCTTACTCTTACAGCTTTATTCATATATTTTATAATAAAATATAAAAATCATTTAAGTGATATTTTTTTCTTAAGCAAACTAGATTTCATTTTATTTTTATGAAATTCTAATTATCTATGACTCAAAACATCAGACCATCTTTTATAAAATTCTTTTTTGACTACATTTCCATATATTTCAGATCCTATCATTTTATTTTTATGACTTTTAGGACTACCTAAATTATGTTATGAAGGTTAAGTATGTTAAGTATGTTAAGTAAATGAAGTATATTAAGTAGGTTATGTAAGTAAAGTAGGTTAAGTATGATTTGTTGGTCTTTTTGTAGTTATTGTTTATTATATTTCAATATTCAAAATTTTCTTTAATTATTCTTTTTTATTAAGTTAAGCCATTTACTATTTTTATTCTTTGATAATAGCTGCTATATTTTTTGTATCATATTTGTTTGATTATATTAATTTAAGTAACTACTATAATTATCTTGAAGTTTATAATTCTGTCAAACCTTAGAGTGCTTTAAATGAGAAATGTTAATCTTCTTCAGGTTGAATAACTAACATTCCCAACTGAAATTTGATTTAATTATATTTTATTTCTCTTTTTTTTTCATGATGTGTTTCTAATAAGGATGTTATCTTTTTGATAAAGAATCTAGGAATGTCGGTATGATATCGATAATATTCTAATAATTGTTTATGCTTCTTCTTGGAATTTTGAAGAGTGTAAAAACTAAATAACTAGAGTATATACGATTTGAAATACTCTTCATTTTCTTCATAACAAACTTAATCTTGGTATTTAATGATGGTGGAACTTCGAAGTTGGAAATTGGAATTATTGGATTGATATCTGGAATATAGAGCCTTACTGTATTTATTTTTAGTCTACCATGTTTAACAATTTAGGCATATTGGGTTTCTGGTCACAAAACATACATGTTATTTACATATTAAATAATTATCAAGGTAATTTAGATTAATTCAAAATTAAGTTAGAAATTTGAAGAAACTCTAATACAAATTGAGGCAACGTATTGTCTTCCAAATCATCACTATCAAAAGTATAATTGTCAATATTTTAAAGTGAAGGACGAAATGAACTTGTCTTTACAGCAAATTTCTCTAATGTTTATGTGATATTCAACAATTTAGATTATTTCTATTGCATCCTAGGAGAATCTTAAGAACATTGACTCTATAAATAGAGTGATCTCATTCCTCCATGTTTTGTTAATTGAGATCCTTCAATTGATATAGACCTATAGACAATATCTAAGAATAAATTTTAGCTTTTAAGATTCTATAACACTTCATTTAGAGAACTTCTCTATTTTGGATTCTTTTACAACATACCCTTAACCAAATGTATAGTTTTTTGACTAACATTAACAAAACAATATTCACTAAAANCTTTTATAAAATTCTTTTTTGACTACATTTCCATATATTTCAGATCCTATCATTTTATTTTTATGACTTTTAGGACTACCTAAATTATGTTATGAAGGTTAAGTATGTTAAGTATGTTAAGTAAATGAAGTATATTAAGTAGGTTATGTAAGTAAAGTAGGTTAAGTATGATTTGTTGGTCTTTTTGTAGTTATTGTTTATTATATTTCAATATTCAAAATTTTCTTTAATTATTCTTTTTTATTAAGTTAAGCCATTTACTATTTTTATTCTTTGATAATAGCTGCTATATTTTTTGTATCATATTTGTTTGATTATATTAATTTAAGTAACTACTATAATTATCTTGAAGTTTATAATTCTGTCAAACCTTAGAGTGCTTTAAATGAGAAATGTTAATCTTCTTCAGGTTGAATAACTAACATTCCCAACTGAAATTTGATTTAATTATATTTTATTTCTCTTTTTTTTTCATGATGTGTTTCTAATAAGGATGTTATCTTTTTGATAAAGAATCTAGGAATGTCGGTATGATATCGATAATATTCTAATAATTGTTTATGCTTCTTCTTGGAATTTTGAAGAGTGTAAAAACTAAATAACTAGAGTATATACGATTTGAAATACTCTTCATTTTCTTCATAACAAACTTAATCTTGGTATTTAATGATGGTGGAACTTCGAAGTTGGAAATTGGAATTATTGGATTGATATCTGGAATATAGAGCCTTACTGTATTTATTTTTAGTCTACCATGTTTAACAATTTAGGCATATTGGGTTTCTGGTCACAAAACATACATGTTATTTACATATTAAATAATTATCAAGGTAATTTAGATTAATTCAAAATTAAGTTAGAAATTTGAAGAAACTCTAATACAAATTGAGGCAACGTATTGTCTTCCAAATCATCACTATCAAAAGTATAATTGTCAATATTTTAAAGTGAAGGACGAAATGAACTTGTCTTTACAGCAAATTTCTCTAATGTTTATGTGATATTCAACAATTTAGATTATTTCTATTGCATCCTAGGAGAATCTTAAGAACATTGACTCTATAAATAGAGTGATCTCATTCCTCCATGTTTTGTTAATTGAGATCCTTCAATTGATATAGACCTATAGACAATATCTAAGAATAAATTTTAGCTTTTAAGATTCTATAACACTTCATTTAGAGAACTTCTCTATTTTGGATTCTTTTACAACATACCCTTAACCAAATGTATAGTTTTTTGACTAACATTAACAAAACAATATTCACTAAAATCAATATCACATTTTTGATTAGCTCTTATTATATTATCTTAATTTAATCCTTTAAATGGAGGTTTCCCTGTTAATAATAAATAATAAACAACTCCTAAACTAAATACATCTCCTAATTCAGTATATGGTTTATGAGTAAAAATCTCTGGAGCCATATAACCAACAGTACCTTATCCTGATGTCAATACTTCTCTATTAATTTATTCTGCAAATCCAAAATCAATTATCTTTATTTAATCTTTATCAATTAAGATATTTTCTAATTTAATGTCTCTATGTACATATCCTATACTGAATAGATTTACTTCACTTACCTATGAATGGCCTAAAGTCCTAATGCAACTCTAAGAATAATGCCACTAGCCTCACTTTCTTAAATTCTAACTTTTTCTCTTAATAATTTATACAATGATCCACTACGTAATAATTCAGTAATCAAAACTATCAAATTCTCATTATATTTACTTAATTGTTCATCCAATTATATAATTTCATATAATGTCAATATGAATGGAGAATTGACTTACTTTAAAATCTCACATTCTGCTTTGACCAATTAAGCTAAACAATTTAGATTTTTCTTTTATGCCAATTCATTTTTATTATATACTTTCCCTGCATAATATTATTTCTAAAATGATTATTTATTCAATGGACACAACTTGTATACTTTTGAGTATCCACCCTTACCCATTAAATCTTAAATAGTATAAAGCTATTCAAAATTTTAACAAATGCAAAATGCTGTTAATCGTTTGAAGAAAGTGAATGTTTACTAACTGAAGAATCATTTTTAAACTTTTACAAATCTGCATTCCAAAAATATGAATATACTTATTAATTTCTCTTTACTCTAATCACTTTAACTAGATCCTAATCTTTATTCTAAATTTTCAAATCAATCAATTTAACACTCATCTAATAAGTCAACAACACCCACTTTATATTACTTTATTTCTAATAACACAATATCCCTTTTTCTGTTAATATATATGTTCTCTCTTTTATTACTTAATTTTTTCTATCTGTCTTATTCAATTATTGAGTTACAAGTATTTCACCATCTAAAACACAATCACCTCGATTCCAAAACTTATCACATATATCGTTTTCCAGGTATACTGGCCAATATACTTATTAAGACATAATAGATAAAATAAATTAAAAATTTATATTCAAAATCGAATAATAGTAAATAAATAAATTGTATATATATTTCACCAATATTCTTTTATTTATTTATGTTTTTGTTATTAATATATAAAATAATTAATTATAGTGTTTCAGCAAATCAAATTTTATTAACCAAATACTCTTTCATCATTTTAACAAACTGGAATTTGTGTTGTTATATGTTTATTAAATTAATTCTCTGTCAAATTAAAACATACTCTACATGCAGGTTTATAACAATCTTCTCCTCCAATTAATTCAACTTAATTATATTTTTATTTTATATACTTTCCTAAGATTAAACAGTTCTTTTAGTGAATGAAGCATTCTCTTTCTTACAAAACCAACAAACAGCAGTTAACTTAGTAATACGTTCAGCCAATGGAATCAAATTCAAGATATTACGAAATGGCTTTCTATCAAATGTACCATCAAGAGCTGCAACTATTACTATTTTCCCTAAATTTGCCATTGCTTCACTAAACTCAACAATCTAAAAATATATTAGATAAAAATTTACATCACTAAAGAATTAACCTTCATCAATAGCTACAACATCATGATCTTTACATTTATCAAAAGCATCAAATAATTTAGTCACTTTTATAGCTTTTAAATATTATCTAATTTATAAATTAGATTATTACTTATCATGACTAGATATACATTAATCATCTGAGTATCTGTTATCATTAGCATAATTAAGAACTGCACATTTTCTTTCTGATATTGTAAATCTTTTAACTAATCTCATTAATTCACTTGTTTTACCAGAAAACTACATCAATTTAAATTATTACCATTGGACCATATATTACTGAAATAGTACCTGTGAACATTATATAAATTTTAAATTATTTTTAATGCGCCGAATTATGTATTTCAATTTAAGTACCTTTTCATTTCCCGCTTTTTTGAAATTTTAAATTACTCCTTGTAAACAATCAAGAGATATTCAAAATTTATAATAAATTATATGTTTACACTTAATAATAGAAATTATCAGATAAATAAAATATAATCATAATTATATAATTATTTTCTATTTAAAAACATTCATATTGAAAGAGATTAAGAAGATAATATATAAAATATTATTTATGTAATTATAAAGATGAAATAATTATTATATGCTTAACTTTATGGATAAGGAAGGTTGAATGTGATTTATTAATTTATTTAATAGAGAGTCAATGACATTAGACTACTTATTGAATATTTTATAATTATATATGTGGTTAATCAAAATTTCTCTATTTTAGATGAATTATTTTATGATAATAATGCAATCTTAATATTATAATCTCTATTATTAATTTGGAAATATTAACAAATTGATACTCATTTACATAATTGAAATAATAGACATTTTTTAAAAGGATTATAATGAACTTTAATTTTATTAATTTAAATTAAACACATTTGAAAATAGATTAATAGTATGGAGTTATATTCAGCAGTATGAATTAGCATAAATTTAGAATATTCTATTTTTTTTTATATATTTTCAATATGACGTCAAAACGATAGTACATACATAAACTACTTACTTATATATTTAAATAATTACTAAATATTAATAGATAATGAATATGGCAACTTACAGACTTATTAATTGTGAGGTAGATTTACATTAAGGACATATTAATTTTTAGCCTTCTAATCTTTATTAGATACAGTATAATAATAAAAATTCTTAAATTTATATGAAATATGTAAATATTATTAATAAAATATCAGTAAGATATTGATATTAAATAGAGAAAATAGTATTTAAAGATTTTAATTGGTGATAAATGATTGGTTTGATTTATAATTTAAATTTGATAATTGATATGGGTATTTGTGCCTCTTAAAGTGAACCTAAGAAAGTAAAGAAATAAAAGGATTAAACTGTAACTATGCCATCTCTGTAGCCTCTTACTACTAGAGAACAAAAAACGAATACAATGCAATTTTAAGAGCCGCCCTCTCCGATTCAAAGAATTACTACACCAATTCGTCGTGTTTCACCTAATCAAACCACAACTCCTGTTTAAAAAGCATCACCAAATAATACAGCCACACCTATATAAAGGGTCTCTGTTTCTAATCATCCAACTCCAAAAACGATGATCATCTAATCAACATAATTACAAGAGAGGACCAGAAATGGATCTCTATTAAATCTACCTATGAAAAGATTGAGTACAAAGCCAGGTTAAAGATCGATTCAATCTCCAGCATCTAGAAACTATTCTATTGTTTCAGGATAAAATCACAGTAAATATTTTATATAAGTTTGAAGACAGTCAAAGCAAAACGGTCATGTAACATAATGAAACTGGATAATTAGTTATAGTGGAAATTCTTAAATTTGAAAATAGGAATCAACAATATATTGACATGTTAGATGAACTACGACTAGTAATTTTCAATAATAATAATTTAAGGATTAAATGCATATTGTTAACATTTTAGATATTCACATTGATTCACATAAAAGAAATTACTAAGTAGTTTATGAACATTGTTAAGGTGGACCTTTGTCTAAGTTTCTAGACTCAAATTAATTGGAATACTAAACTATAGGATCTATATTTTATTAAATGGTAGAAGCCTTAGCATATGTTCATAAATTAGGTTACAGTCATGATGAATTAACTATTGATAGTTTTTCAGTTTTTGATGATTCTTCAACACCATTTATTAAATTATCAGAAATAAGAAGCATCTATTAATTTATGTATCCTAAGAATTCAGTACTCTATGAACCACCTAATTCACCTAATCATAATCATAAAGATACTAATAAACTATAAAATATACAAACAAAAAATAGAAGTTAATCAAATGATATCTGGGCATTGGCTATTATAATATTATAATTAATGAATCATTAATTTCCATTTGAAATAGAAGAAATCAAAAAATTTAAACCACAAATAGCTTTTGCTAAATAAGAATTAGATATCTATCCTTTATTAATAGAAATGCTTCACCATAATCCAAATGATAGAATCACACTTGATAAATGTTTAATTCATCCTTATCTAATAAAAATGAAATAGATACAATCTAAAGATTATATATAACCATTTACAAATATCATCTAATCCAAAAATATGACTTATGTACATAAATGTCTATTTCAATATCTTCTATCATTATATGCAACAGATCATTTAAAAATACTTACAAAATTATTTAGTAATGCTGATCTTAACAAAGATGGTTAATTAAGTGAAAAAGAATTAAACCTAATCTTTAATTAATAACCTTAAGATTACTAATTTTAAATATCTGACTTTATTAACATAACTTAAGAAGATTTCCTTTTATTTGCTGCTGATAAACAGCTTGTGCTTACTTAAGATTGTCTTACATCAAGTTATAAGACTTTATCAAGATCCTAAAATTAAATCACTCCAAAATTAATTTCTAAAATTATTATAGATTGTGATGAAGATTAACTTTAATAAGATTTCGATACTTATAACTTAAATTATGCAGTATAAATATATATTAATAATATATTAGTTTTAATATTAAAAATATGAAGAATTTCTGAATAATTACAAATCTCCAAAACCTATTATTTGAAGATAGTAGTCTAATGATATTTATGTTATTATTTATATTCATTCTCTAATTTGAATTAATAATTACTTATTAATATAATAAACTATTTATTTATTTTACAATTAAAAAATTAATTATAGAGACATATCGAATTTATAATTGTAAACATATTATTCAAAGATCAAATATATCTTTTTGTGGTAGTTTTCTATCAGAAATTCTACAAAATGGACAATACTTCTTTTGAACATATTCAAATTCATGTTCATCTATGAAAAAGAATCTTGCACAATAAGGACATACATGAATAGGTTAAGAAGCATTCATATTTCTATAGTATTTGACATCAATTGTTCTACAATATTATCTAAGATCAACGATAAGGACTTCTTCAGGTGATAGGGATTAGATTGTTGCTTCATCTAATTCTACTACCAAATATTGATCTTGAGATGTTTGCTATTATTATATTATTTCATTCATTTTCTCTTAAAAGAGTTATCCAGGTCGTTTATTTGAAATAACTTTCTCAGAATTAAGCAATTTTTCAACATCCTCTCTAGATAAGGAATGATCAACCTTGAATTCAACTACTTATAGATTTGAAAAACTGATGAAGGATGAAAAGAGGGGATGAAGACAAACATTGCATTAAGAAGAATGCTAATTGTCCATTAACATTAAATTTGATGTTTAACATCTGGCACAAAAGGGCAATCTTGATTCATCATCTGAATAAGGTTTAGATCTAATAAGCATAGATTATAGATCAATTTCTTCACTCCATTCAGATGGTACTTTGAATGACTATAATTTATAAATCTATAAATAATACATTTAGTTTTTCATAACAAATACGTGTAGTTTTGTAACATTCAAGTTAAGAAGCACATTTAGCAAGAGAATAATAGACATAACTCATTTTAATTCCTTGATAAGTGCTTTTCCATTTAGATATAATAAATCTAGCAGCATTCATAATTTAAAAGAAATAAGTCTCTCCAGATAAAGGTTAAAAGGGTTCTCCAATAAAACTATGTATTTTTTGATAAGCAAAATAGACATCAGCTAAATCACTATAGTCTTAATACTATCTGATTGCATTAATATCATCTCCTGTAGGATTATGATAATCATTAATTTAACTAAGACAATCAATAGCTAAATTCCAAAGATATTGACTAGCATCATGATATCTTTATTCTTCAATACAATTTTTAGCCATATCCTTTGTCATTTTCATAGTAATATCATATCTACCTGCACTTTTATATGCTTTAAGTGCATCTTCATATCTATCATTCTACAATAAATGATTGGCATAAGGCACTTTAACTATTTCTAATAATTGTTTATTTGATCGACCTATTTAAAAGGCTTCTTCCCATTTTTCAAATTCAACATGTAAACTC